ATTGATACGGACTCCCAGCACTCTGCCGGAACAGGTAGAGGCTGCAATGGTGCACGGAGTGAAGGACTAGGCTTCACTCGTTGACACACCTCGCAAGCACGCACGTACTTGCGCACAAACTTATACTGGCGTGGCCAGTAAAAGTCGCGACTGACCGTGAGATAAGTCTTCTCACGGCCGCGATGCCCACTTATTGGTGCATCGTGACATTCAAACATGATCCGTAACCTGATATCATATTGTGGCGGTACAACGACACTAGGCGTGTCGTTGTTGACGGCTGTGTAGTACAGTAAGCCGTTCCGCTGGGTGTATCGATCGAGAGAAGATCGATACATGGCAGGCAAGCGCTTCTTAGCTTGAGTGGATGGGTCCTTGAGGTACTCCATCAGGCGTACAAGATCATTTTCTTGTGCGCATGCCCTTCTAATTTCGTCAAGTAAACTTGACGACAAGACGCTGGTACTCAGCGTGGCTTCAGTGGTGGTCACATCACTGTCGGATTGCACAGTCGGCTCTAGGTCAGGCCGACGTGAAAGAGCATCGGCGACGACGTTAAGTCGTCCCGGATTATACTCCACGGAGAAGTTGTACTCCGCGAAGAACGACAACCATCTCGCCATTCGTTGCGAGAGGTGTGGACTATTTACAGCAGTGCGTAGTGACGCATGGTCTGTATATACAATGAACGGTCTATCTCCTAAGAGATAGACGCGAAACTAGCCAGTGCATACTTCATGGAAAGGAGTTCCTTGTCATGCACCGGGTAATTGCGCTCGGCCGGTTGCAGCTGACGCGATTGATAACAGACGATACGCTCTGCGCCGTCTGTATCATATTGCATGAGTGCACAGCCAATTGCAAAATCGCTGGCGTCACAGACCACATGAAATGGTCTGTCTTGATCGGCAATTGATAATACTGCCGATTGCATCAAGCTTTGCTTGATACGCTCAAAGGAATGCTGAAAGTCAGCGTTCCAATTCCACTTTACATTTTTCTTGAATAAACAAGAAAAATGTACTGTCATTTCGGCGTAATTGCGCGAGTACTTGTGCAAGTACGCCGCTAGCCCAAGGAACTTTCATAGTCCCCTGACATCGACTGGCACTGGCCAGTCGGTGATCGCCTTGCTTCTTTTCCGGATCAGGGCGTACGCCGTTCTTTCCGACGATGCACCCAAGAAGTGGTATTTCGCTAGCCTCGAATATAAACTTCTTGAGATTGGCGTACAACTTATGCTCGCGCATAGTGTAAGAACCTAACGTACGTGGAGCCTATGGACTTCCACGTCGGTTTTCCCGTCCATAGCTCGACTATGGACGAACCATCATCGAAATAACTCGGTGCGAATTCGCTCTCCGGTCTCAATAGATGTGAAACACATCTATTGAATGTGGCTGGTGTATTACTAAGCTCTTGAGGCATCACCAACCATTTCCAGAGCATACCACTGGGAGTGCTCACTGCTTTGTACGGGATGTCCCGTCCACGCATTAGGATCTGATAGAAACCATCCATCAGATCCATGGACGAAAAGATGGCACTCTTAGACATACCATCTATGATTACGTCCTTTCTCGGTATCAGTGTTTGCGCCGGTATCGTTGCAGCGTTCAACTTGCTGAACGCGTGTACTATCCGCCACCCTCCTGTGGCCTTGCGCACACAGAAGGTCGGAGAGCTGTGAGGTGAAGTTGACTCCCTCACATGGTCCGCTGCTAGGCGATCGGCAAAGAACTTGTCGATACTTGTCGATCGCCTCGACCTATTCCCGAGGCAGTGGCTACTGCTTCATGACACACTGTTTTGTGCCAGGAACAAGGTCAATCTCGTGTCGAGTACCTTTATCCTTAGGCAACTCGAACGGAACGGATTCAGGGAATACATCCCTGAATTCGACCAAATCCTTGTACAAAGGATTTGACTTCAGCGACTCCCAGGATTGCGATGTATATCGTTCAATCCGAGTCTTCTCATCAAGTACACTTTCGTCCATTGACGAGCTGCTGAGAACCCGTTCGTTCTCAGCAAAAACGGTTGCTGACCGAATGTCAGTCATGTACTCGTCCTCTGCGACGAGCACACAGATCTGCTTGACTTTGACACTACGCAGATCACGCAAGAACCTTTTAGGTTCTAGCGTAGGCAACTGAGTTATCTCCGAAGTTAACTTCGGAGGCGCGATCAGATCAAGCGTATAAGCGCCTACGTCTGATACGTCATTAACCAAGACGTTCAACTTCTCGGTTACTTTCTGGGGACTTATTCCCTCAGGGCACTGGGGACTTATTCCCTCAGTGATTATTTCCTGGAAACTTATTCCCGCAGGCTCGATAAAACTTGTTCCATCGACTTCCTCTAGCTGTGGTGGCGCAACCACAGCGAGATCCTCTACGATCAACTCTCCAGTTGATCTAGAATTACCTTGTTGCCGCTTCTGGGCAACCGGTTTACTCTTCGGTGAATGCTGCCCTTTAGGCGAGCATTCATGTCCCGGTCCACTCGGCTTATTCTAGTGGTGGACCTTTGGCGCTGCCTGTACTTGTGCACAGCCGCCGGCAGCTTGCTCCACAGCGTGACTGTCTGTCACGCTGAGTTCTTGTGCAGTCGTACTAACGACCGAACCACAAGTGAGTCCATCACACTCACTCGTAGTACATTCACACGCTTGTGAACGCTCCAAGACGTTCATCAGATGGCCATCTGATGAACAAGCGGCAGGCATCTTCACGGTTCGATGCTGCCAGCTGACCTGTGGCTCGTACCTTCTGAGCCATGGTAATCCTAGGATGACATCAAATTCGTCATCCAGATCAAGTACGATAAAATCATCATCGTACTTTTTGCCTTCAAGCGTATAGTGAGTTCCCACTACACGTATCTTTACTCGCCAGTTGCAAGGCGCACCGTCATCCTCGTTGGAAGGGTCTCGCGCTCAACATATTTGAGCCTACGATCATCTAGCGATTGGCGTCGAACAAAGTTTTTCGAATCCCCACAATCAACTAGGGCGAGAAGTGACATGTTCTTTGTCACTTCGATCTTCAAGGTGATGAGGGATACCTCATCACTGGGAGCGGCAACACACAATGACTGTGTTTTAGAAGCAACCTTCGTCAAGAGTCTCGCGAACTCTCTTGACGTTGCTGGACCAGTAGGACGCTCCGCCCCTACTGACCCCGACCGTTTTTTAATGGTCCACCACGTTGTTGCGATTCGCAGCAACGTGGAACCCACGTTTCTGGCCCTTCTTAGCAGACGGTCGATCGTCACTCCCAGTGTTACGAGTGGGGCACTACACTCATAAGCGTAGTGGCCCAACTTCTGACAGCGATTGCACTTTTGCAATCGCTTGTACCCTGGAGAGCGAGGTCCATTGGCTCTGTACCTCCGCCCTCCTGTCGTCTCGGTGGACGATAGGATCCCGAGTGGACGTGAGCCTGGTGTAGGCTAAAGTCCTCCTGTTCCGCTGCAGAGATCGCTTGATCCAGCGATTTTAGCTCCAAGCGGAACAGGTGGGTCTTGACAGGACCATCTGTCAGACCCTTGATGAACACAGTAACCTGCGTGTGTTCATCGATTGGGTTCAGTACGATACAGCTAACGAGGTATCGTACGTGTTGGGCGTAAGCGTGTATATCACGCTTACCCTGTTTCAAATCCAGGAGCTCAGCCCGAGCAATGAATTCGGCGCGAGGCGGTTCAAACGTGTGTTTGAGCCGAGCCTTGAAGACGTCATACGTTGGGAAAACGTATGGGTCGTGCAGTTTGAGCCCTAAGGCCCAAGCTTTGGCACGTCCTACCAAGTTGGACATGGCGAACTTGACCTTCATCGCATCGTCATCAATGCGACGAGCCTCGATGGCATCGTCGAGCTCGACGAACCATCTTAACAAGGAGTCGCTTTCGACTGCCTTGTACTTGGAGACATCAATCTTCAAGGACTTGAGTCGACGTGTATACGTTGAGCCGGAAGCAACAGCACTAGCCTGTGTTTGTCTCAACAGTTCATACTGTTGAGCACCCTGCTGCATCAACAAGTCAGCTTGTTGAGCGCCTTGTTCTCTCAACAGGTCAACCTGTTGAGAACCTTGCTCCTCTAGCAAGGTGAGCTTCTTTACAACTTCGTCAATTTCATGTTGTATGAACTTGGCGATGGTTGCATGTTGGTCGTCTCCGCTAAGAGAGAGCAACATGGCACCAACGGCAGGGTTGCCGATGATTTCAGCCATACGCTGAACCGCATTCCATTAGAGGTCACTCAAATGGCGGAAATCATCACGAGTTGCGTGATGACGTTCATCACCCGCTGATTCCATAGCGGATGGTGCGGTGGTCGCTGAACGGACCACGAAGTGCTACCAGGTGTAATGGGGCACCCTCCGACTATACTGATTACAGTATAGTCTACTTTCACTGATTACAGTGAAAGCAGGTGCCTCAATTACCTCTCTTACACAAGAGGCAGAGGAAGCTTTACTTCTAAACAAACGCTAGAAGTAGAGGAAAAGAAAACTGTATTTAATATAGTTAACTATCTAATAAAACTAATCTGTTATAACCTATGTTAACTATATCAAACTACAACTATGTATGTTGACAACTTGCCCTCCACTCATTGCGCGCGTCCATCGGTCATTGGTCAGTGCGTTGGTTAATATGATGGCCCATATCAACCAATGATAGGGCATCTCTAACTTCAAGGAGATCTAGGAACAATATTTTAAGAAAAGATAATATTGTCAAAATATTACTAGTTATAATAATATTTTTATTGACACTTCATATAAGTGTCAATATTATGTAACGGGCTCACCCCGTTACACACCCTATAGTCGATGGGGTTGATCGTTTAGCAATTCCAAAGCTTATTGTACATGTTTCGGATTGAGAATTCATAATCACATTAAAAATATCATAGCACTAGTAGTGACGCGTATACAATACCTATACGCGCCAGCGCTTCCTTATAAATGAATGGCGCACGATGTCTAGCACTACAGGCTATGGCGTTTTTGAGGGAGGTGGCTGGCCTTCTGTGCCCGGCGAGCACTAAAAAAGAGCTGATGGCGCTCGCGTGAGTATTCCTCCGCAAAACTGGCAATGAAGCCCAACACCTCATCAATCGGCAAAGTGTCTTCTTCCTCAAAGTACTTCAAAAAGTTTTTTCGCTGTATGAAATCAAGACAAAAGAGTCAATGCAAACACTCATTTGGAAGAAAACAATCAGTTGATGGTTTACCTCTTGCTCCAGTTGATCGACTAGCTTCTGCACGACGTTAAGCACTTGCTCGACTTCCATGGTGAACAATCTCATGCTTTCCCGCGATTGCGCCAAATCCGCCCGCAGATCGTCGTCATCGGTTTTTAGCACTGCCGTCTTTTGTGTCTCGTTAATCAGCATGCGAAGACCGCCCTTAAGCGACTGGTACTCGGCAACAAGACTCTGGGCAGACAGTTTACTGCACTTGACAATGAGAGGTAGTTCATCACTAAACTGTGCGAGGTGTGGCTCATCGCGCTGTAATGTCAATAACTCTTTGTCAAAACGCGGTCTGTTTCGTCACTTTGCCAATCGACTGCATTGCTTACCTCGACAGACTGAACCACAAACTGCAGGAATGAGATCCGTCCGTTGTATGCCTTCGTGAACGCTAGCTTCCCGAGCGAGCTGATGGAAATACTTTTTACCCATTCTGTGTACTCCACTCCCTCGCCAAAGTTGAGCAAATTGCCCAAATGAAAAATGTACTCTAACACACCAGCAAATCGATCGCTTGAGCATACTTGCTGAATGCCACGGATCAACAAGCTCAAGTTGTCCCTGGAATCGAGAACAATTGTTAACATCTCTGTTTTTATTGCAGTGAAGATATGTCTCAGCCAAACATACCGAAGTTCCTCGACGCGTAGGGTGAAGTCCATCTTGAATTGAAGGCAGCGCAGCTTCTGCTGTGCTCTTGGGACTTTTCGAGCTACCATCAAAAATTGTTCGGCCTGGACAAAGCAGAAAGTGGGCAGTTGTCAGATATCAGCCGGAACATCAGCAATCACACATCAGTAAAACTATATCCTCACCGTAGCTAGGCTTAAGACGTCACCATCAAACTGGTTAATGGCTTCTTGTTCCGCACTGTCAGGCCACATGTCGATCAATGACTGCAACGCTGGGCTGGATAATACGTCGCAGTTTAAAGTCAAAATCTCGTGTGTGAGCTCCGAGAAACTGCGCTTTACTCGTGCGAGCACAATAGCGATGTTTTGAGACTTTTTGTGGTCAAGAAGCACGACATACAACTTCCGCCGCAAAAATGCGTTACCAGAGTCTTCTGCCCCGTTTTCCTTCATCTCTTCGTCCACCGGCTCCGGCTCATTCTCCATCTCGTCTTGTTCGTCATCAAAAAAGGCTGGATCGATATTTGCACGCTCACATTCTTTCATTTCAAAATGTCGCGACGAGGTCTGCTTTCGAGGAGACATATTATTCGCGCTCGTAGCCCGTCGTATCTGGCTAGCTTTCGCTTTTGCAACAGCCTTAACAAAGAGCTTTTCCATCCAACGCCGGCTTTCACTCGAGATACAGACGCCATCTTGCGGTGCCTTCGCATGAATTCGGCTCCAAAGTGAGTCTCGTTGAGCTGGAACGATTGCTCCTGTGTACGGGGTCGTAGACCAATGCAGCTTCTTTCGCATTCCATTGTTCATCTTGCGAATGGCCAACATTGCCAATGTGCGGCCATTACTAGTTGCGGCAGATCGCGCTGCCAATGCGTCAGGCGTCGAGGGTGCGGTAGAGATGACAGAGCTGATACTGGAGCGTCTAGAGCGTGTGCCTAGTTCTGTAGATGCAGAAACTTCACTGACATCCGTACGCTTCAGCACGACATTAGCACCAATTCGTTGCTTGTCCAACTCGGTCGGTTCGACACCTTCTTTCCTTGCTTTCATTTCCACAACGTGACGTGGGACGCCAACCTTGATCATCCGCTGAAAAAACTCGACTTTTTGTGTGTGTTCAGGATCCTCCTTCTCTACTGGTTGTGGGATTTCAATGGGGGCTGGCACCTTCTTTGCCGTTAATGTCATTGCAAGAAGCTCATCCAGCACAACCGGATCCTTCTTTTCAGCACGTATCTTGTGGTCAACAATGACTCGTGGGAGTCCGACCTTGAGCATCTGCAGATATGTTGCATACTCGCTCCGTAGAGCGATAAGTCTAGCTGCAGTAAGTCTCTCCTCGGCTGATAAAACAGATACCGTTTTCTCTTTCTCTTGCATCTCCTTGACAGGTTTTGTTGCGATGTGGTGCTGCTGTAAACGTCGTTGACAGCAAACAGGCAGCTCACGGTCATTGCAGGCATGATTGTGTATCGTCACACGGCTCCAACGCACATAGGCGACGAGAATAAAGCTCATCAGGAAATGCAAGATAAGCCAAGAATCACTCGTCAATACCAAATGACAGGCATTGCAATCGACTGCAACGAGCCCTGCGTAGACTGGGTAATTTCCATTCCTTTCCATCAATATTATAATGCGTTGATAGCAGGCACGTCACCTTATCCAACTACAAACGTCCTTACTCTATAATACAATTTAGAGTCTCTCTCTATGCAAAGGACTTGTAATTTTTCAGTGCGTAAGAACAATCAAGTAACTATAGGGACCCCCTCAGACGCAAGGCAGCGAGTGAATCACACGTCCGCGTCTTGTCCGTTCCCAATTTGGTTCCTGCGATGCCCTCCTAGGAAACTTCGCCGCACTCGATGGCTTGAGCCATAACGGCAAACGCGCCACTCGAGCAACGGCAGCCAGGCGAAAAATGTGGCAGAGACCTTGTATCATACAAAAAATGGGTTTCTTCCGGTGAAAAAGACGAGGCTAATGGGCGTTTAGGCTCATTTTTGTGTCTTTTATGCAAAACCTAGCACCGTTACTAATTCTTCTTTTTTCATATCAGGCAAAAAGATACTTTTTGCTGCTGTGACCATTGGCCACACGTTTACCGCGTGGTCGGTTGCAGCAGAATATGCCTTTCATAACCGCTGTTACAGAGCGCTCGACAGAAACGGTTGAGGTTTGCGATTTTTGAGAGACCGATGCAAAGAAACCAGTGGGTAAAACAAAGCCTGTTAGTGCGCATTAGACTTATTGCCCAAGGGATCAACAGTTTTTATCGGAAATTAGCATTTGTAGAATCGGAGCTACGTTATAAGCGCCCATATGAGGACATAGGTGAGCTGCTTATGCATACAACGGCAGTGACAATGGCTTTTAACGGACCACAATCAAAGCTTTGGCGTTGCAGTATCAATGTATCTACTTTTGTTTGTAGGTAGCAACCATTAAATCAGGAAGCGTCATGCCTCATCTGTAGTGCTCCATCTTTGCGAGAACACTAAGCAATTGCGTTGTGCAATCCAATTTTTGCGTGGTGGGCACAACTTTGAAATCTCCATTCATTGTACATACGTGCAGTTGGCCTTGTGGTGTGCCCTGTCAACGTGGCATGTCGACTTCAATAGGTTCTTAGAGCTTATGCGATTCGGATTTGAAGAGTTCAAACTTTCCTGTGACTCGCAGCTTGGTCGCTTGTCCAGAAACCAGACATTGCGTCGGTAGTCTCTGGTCTAGAGGCTCAGTAGAGATGCATGCAAACTGCACCTCGTTAACGCTTTCGTCGTCAAAATCCTCTGGTGAGTTTTTTCTTACAATACTTGTTGCAAATTAGCATGCACTCGCCCACTTGCCAATTGACCCTATAACTAAATTTATGATTGCAAAATTTTCGTACATGTGGAAATTAATCAGCTCGTGGCAAGTCAGTAAAGAAAGTTTCTTGCTAATACGTCTCGCTTGTAAGTTTCTAAGCACAGTCTTTTGCCGTCCAAGACGCCTGTAGAACGACCCGCAAAACTTCAACAAAACAGCATTATGAGAACGAATCAGTTTGTTAATCGAATAAGTCGCTTTCTTCAAAGATGCTGAACATTGTAAGATTAGACGAGCCCCACCATGAACAACGAGCCCCACCATGAACGTTTCAAAGCAAATGTAATTCGTTAGCGGTATTTCAGAAGCACAACACACCACAATCATGAATACTCCACCAGCAAGCAAACAACCCTGTGGTCTACTATCTCGTGAGAAATAACACAATGGTCGTTTCATTGAGGCCGTCGAACATGACTTTCACTACTTGCTTACGTGGCAACTATGAGCGTGTTTGCTCTACACGTCTGTGCCAAAAAGGTCGCCACTATTTCGTAGAGGCTCGCTTTTAATCATGCCGTCTGACCCTCTAGTTGGTAAAAGCATTAGCAGAAATTGGCCACTGAACCACCGCACGACCACTGAGCGGCTATCCGTCGTCACCAAGTTGTGTAGCTAACGACTAAACGATCGGCCCAACTGTCCGAATTTCGACTTCTTGACGCTGCATGCACAAAGGAAGAAACCCTTACAGAAGATGGGCTTTAAGCGTCTGCAACAAGTGTGCCACATACAGTTTAGAGTTGCTCTAAAGAGCGGACGAAGCCTTGCGAGTGTATAATCAAGAGTCGAACACAGATGTTACTTTATAAGCCGTCTTATCGTGGCAAGTTGAATATGCAAGAGACCAGTGCACATGTATCCGATCGCAGCATTAGAAACGTTTCTATCTGGCCCTCGTCGCCTCGCTCGCGAGTCTCCATTGCATCCAGCAACTGCCTTATATTGCGTTGATTCCACTTTGTCTTTGCGACGCCGGGATCAATTTAGCAATCGTCGCTCTTTCTTGGCCGACTAGACGCTATGCTAATTGGCTTGGCTCGCCTTGGTGCTATGCTATCGTTCAGCTGCACAACTACAGTACAAACCTTAAACTAACGTTGCATATCGTAAGGTTTCATTTCCTCTACGAGTAACTAATGCTGTCGTCAGCAAATCGTCAAGTGGTAAACAGTCACTAGACCAAAATAACAATGCGTTCGTCTTGACGTAGTTGAAGCGTTGCAAGAGAACGTATGACACTCGCCGTGCGACTTCAAGGGGCTGCCGTAGCAGTGAAGAGATACGGACGCTTGTTACCTTGCTCTACTCGGCATAAGGCTTGTCTGTAACAACAGCTTTTTTATCTAAAATTAGAAATGTAATAAGGTTTAAGGTGTATATGTATTCTGACAGTATTACAAGATAACCAGGTTTTTTCTATTTAGTGTGAGTCGAGTCAGACAAAATGAACGACGAATGTCATTCGGCAAAAAGAGAACTCGGGAATCAAATACAGAGTGATTGTCCTTCCTTGAAGAATCACGACTAACACCGAAATTAACCATGAATGACCTATTGATGGTAGATGCCGTGGATGAGGCCCATGTGGTGAAGGAAATCGTGATGCGCTATCGTCAGAGCTACGTCTATACGTTCCTTGGGCCCGTGCTCATCGCAATGAACCCATATACGATGCTCCGCCAGCCCAATGGCGACTCAATCTACGCACGGAATATGATTGATGAGTTCCAGGGTAAAGAGTTGCATCTGTGCAAGCCCCACCCCTTTGCACTGGCTGAAAACGCCTATACGAGTCTCATGCGCTTTGGTTTGGACCAGAGTTTACTCATCACGGGTGAGTCAGGCAGTGGCAAGACTGAGACGTCCAAGCACGTTATGCGATACCTGACGACTGTCAGTACATGCTTCAGAGCCAAGAGCGCTGTTATGGCAAATCGCCGTATGTCGGTAGCGCAGCGCAAAGAGGCTGACGACATGACGAGCCACGTCACTGACGTGCTCTGGGGCAGTAATCCCGTGTTGGAGGCCTTTGGTAATGCACAGACGATCCGCAATAACAATAGCAGTCGCTTTGGCAAGTATATAGTATTGCAGATGAATCGTGTAGGTCAAGTCATTGGCGGATACATCGACAATTATCTGCTGGAACGCAGTCGTGTGATCCATCAAGCCGAGGGAGAACGTAACTTTCACTCATTTTACCAGCTCATGTCGGGTGCAACGGCAGCGGAACGTGAAGCATGGCAGTTGCCGGAAAGCGCCGAGGTGTTTGATGTATTGAGCAACGAAGACGTGACGATTGAAGGTGTTGATGATGCCAAGAACTATGTTTCGGTTCGTAAGAATATGACGGCTGTGGGCATTACGGATGATGAGCAGCACGAGATCTTCCAGCAACTTTCGGCAATTTTGTGGCTTGGCAACGTACATTTCGAAGAGACGACGGATGAGGCGCACAACCCTCGCGCTGCTATTGAGGACCCTAAGGCGCGTGAAGCTCTGGTTAAGGCTGCTAACCTCTTGGGAATTGACAAGGACAAGCTCGAGGCGTTGCTGACGTTTCGAATCGTCAATATCTACCGCGAAGACCAGAAAGTGCTGTTTGACGCTCGTCAGGCGAAGAAAGTGTGTGACTCGATCATGCGCTCGCTGTACGAAAAGATCTTTGACTGGATCGTGGCCCGTATTAACAAAAATGTGACGTGCAAGAAGCGTGACATCAACAACAGCATTGGCATCTTGGATATCTATGGTTTTGAAATTTTCGAGGTGAACGCGTTCGAGCAGCTGTGCATAAACTATGTGAACGAAAAACTGCAACAGTTGTTCATTAGTCAGACGCTGGAGAGCGAGCAAGAGGGGTACCGTCGCGAAGGACTGAGCTGGCAAAACATCGAGTTCTTTAATAACCAGGTTGTGTGTGACCTGATCGAAGACCCCAAGCAGCATGGTATTTTTCCGCTGTTGGACGAACAGTGCGCCATTGCGCGTCTGTCGGATCTGGAGCTCATTGAACGTTACAACAGTGAGCATTCAAGGAACCCTCATTACGTTGCGTCTCGTGTGCGTGGACCCAACTTTGGCATCTTGCACTACGCCGGCAAGGTCGAGTACGACGTCACGCTATTCTTTGATGCCAACGTAGACACGTTCTTTAACGATCTGCAGGACGGTATGGAGCACTCGTCGAACGCATTCATACGCGAGGTGTTCCTCGACATGCGCACGAAGGAGCAAACGCTTAAGCGTCCGCCGTCGACATCGCAGCAGTTCCGAACACAGGTTGCGGACTTGCTTAAAAAGCTGGACGGCTGTAACCCGCACTACATCCGTTGTATCAAGCCGAACGAGAAGAAGCGCCCACTAGCTGTGAATGAGGAGATTGTTGCAGAGCAAGTCCGTTATCTTGGTTTGGTGGAAAATTTGAGTGTGCGCCGTCAGGGTTTCTGCTACAGCCAACCTTATGGCGCGTTCATCAAGCGCTACAGCTTTTTGTCGGAATCCACGTGGCCAGCACCGGTTGCTCACACCTCTCGCAAGGCTGCCGTTGATTTGTTAACGACTGTTGGACTTGGTGTGAGAAATCCAGATAATAAGAACGAGCTGATCCCATTCGAAGAGGACTCCGAAACGCTTGGTTGCTTTTCGCTCGGTCGCAACAAAATCTTTTTGCGTCATCCACAAGCTCTTTCTGCGCTGGAGATCTTGCGCGAAGAGCGCATACCGGTCATCGTCAACATCATTGAGAATGCCTGGCGCCGCTACAAGAATCGTATTTCGCTCAACGATTTCCAGGCAGCTTATAACCAGCTCGTTTCCGCGTACGACGTCGTGTGGAAGAACTGCCAGGATCGTCAGAAGCGCGTTCCAGGCTCTGCCGACAAAGCTTTTGTTGGAAAGCTGTATTCGAACTGGGAGGCCGCGTCCACCAAGTTGCTGGACACCAACAACAGCCGTTTAGTGAAGAACCTAAAGAAGAAGGAGGAGCTTAACTCGATACTCTTCATGCAGAGCTTTGTCCAGGCGCGTGCGCAACGTCGTGAGTTTCTGAAGCTTAAGAAGGCGCAAATTGTGTTTAGCAAGCGCTACCGCGGTCTGAGGACACGTAAGCAGCTTGGGAGCGACATGTGGAGATCGTGCAAGATTGCTCTGCTTGGTGTGCGCACAGAGTTCGAGCGCTACTTGGGCAAGAAGAAGCGTCGTCGCGATTCGTTGGACCGCTTGTACCAGGCTGACTACATCGGTGTGAACAAGTACCCTGCCTATGCGTCGATTATTCAAGGCCACACTGAAAGCCGGAGTTCCAAAGCAGGTCTCGATCGTGGTCATAAAGAAAAGCTGCTGTTCTTGGGCACCGTTGAGAAGGTGAACGAACGCTGGGCGCATCAGACGCGTGTGCTTATGATCAGCGAAACCCGTGTCTTCAACCTGAAGGCTGATAAGATCCAGCAGCCGAAGGAGCGGCGTGTGTTTGAAATAGCCCGCCTCACGGGGCTAGCCATGAGCACGCAGCCGGACAACTACCTGATTCTACGTGTGAAGGGTGAGATTGACCTGATGGTACAGGTGTCACAGAAGACGGAGGTGGTGCAGGCACTGCGTAGCCGCATGGAGAAGGGGTATGGTCGTGAGCTTTCCGTGGAGTTCTCGGACGAACTAGACTTTTACGCTGCGAAAGGTAAACAGTTTAAGGTCAAATTTGTCTTTGACCGCACAATGAAGGACTCAGAATGGAGCAAGGTGGACCGCCATACGATGCTCGTCAAGGTCGGCATCGTCTAAACTGCTAACGACGAAAGACCGGGTTCATGAAGGGTCCTTCATGGCAAAAGGCTGCGGTGCCAGATCTCAACAATGGTGAAAGTACTTAAACGAACATAGAAAAAGGAAAAGAAACAGTACACACGTAAAATGTGCAGGAAGTTGTGCGAGATCTCACGCCACAGTAATGTGGCCTCAGCGTAGCGTAGCAGACCTGGTATACAGAGAACATTAAAGTTTGTTTGCATGTTAAGCATTCTTTCGAGATTGTATACAAAAGTGAAGACGAACATCGAGAACTCCTCTCGTTATGTCTTACCAGTGAACTTTTTTTCTTGAGCGCGAATAACATCTAGGCTGATGATGCACATCGATAATGACGGCGATGATTTGAAATTGCTGGCCTACTTGAAAGTATCTTATGACCTTGTTCTCTTACTTTGGAAAAGACCTCGGCATTCACAAGATGCAAATTGTGCCGCGTACTTGAAAGGTAAACGTCCTCTGCAGCATACACCCTACAAATCTCGACACGAAACTCAGAACCGATAAGCTGCAAAGCTTTAGAGCTCTCTTATGTGTCGCTTTTATCGGATTATCAGCTTGCCCACGACCACGGCTAATCCGGTTGTTTGGATGCCGATACAAGAACGGGCCTGTGTTCATCTTCCCTTTTCTATAAGAGACGTTTCATTCGCATGCGAAACTTCGAGAATGGGCGATCATAATTTTACTTTCGTCGCCGCCACTAGACGTGGGAAATCCGGTAGGGTGCCCAAGCCCATTGCGGCTAAGGCAACAGCTACCATTCACGCAAGCCATCTCATGGGTGCTGATCGGGCCAGGCAAGGTTCGAGGCGTTTCACTCTCTGATGAATCTGATCGCCCTCAGAGTTGGGAGCTCACTCAATGCCACGATGGCATAACTTGGGTTTTCGACGGCGCTCCGCCGCTAGTAAAAGGGAAATCGCAGGAGCTCACCCAACAAGCGGAGAGCAAGCTCAGCCGACATGGGGTTGTCTTTTTTTCCAACCCACAGATCCACCACTATCCGTGGTCCGCACCGCCTACGGTCCCCAACCATCGACTATTCACTTTTTTGAAAAAACAAGCTTTTCAGGCGACAAAGCGCGGTCTCGCAGCACCGCTGAAGCAGGTCATCGATCGGCTAGCCACAAAGAGCCAGAATACGCGGTGGCAATGCACAGCTTTAAATGTCACGCCGGCTCAGCTATGGGATCACGGCCATGCGGTAACGGAATACCAGTTATGGACACGATATCGACACGCTACCGGACAGCTAAACTTTTGGTACCAAAACCGACCCCCGGACGGATCATGCACATATTTGGAATGTGTAGGCCAAAAGGAAACCCAGGAGCATCTCTTTTGGGGATGTCCCCGCGCTCAGGCAATCTGGGCCCGGCTTATCAGTCATTGGGAGAGTACACCTCACCATCCTACCCACCTCCTGGATTGGCTCGAACACTGCGCAAACTGTAGCGTACCACGCATCTCGCCGCAGGTCACAGCAAAGCTGTTAGCCCGGTACCCGGAAGACATTGATCTATTCGCCACAGCCTGGAGGACGATTTGGGAAGTCGCAGTGACCGTCATTATCACAATGCTCTGGCAACTTCGCGTGGATAGGATTTTTAACAATGCGCTTATTCCGATACAAGCCAGTGAAACTTTGATCTGGAATAGGATTCAGCTCCAACTGAGGGCGCTCATCAAACGTCTCCATTGCAGAGCGGCCACAGCCGTCCGTGGAGCCCAACTATCTGCATGTTACGACATATTTATATCAGAACCGAGAGGGCAGTCCGGCGTTCATAGACGTGCTGCCAGCCGTAGGCAAATCCTGGACCCTCCAGCGTTGCTAGTGTGGTTAACTACCTACCAGAGATCTTGCACTAATCAGTAAATAGACAATCTGTTCTCTCTCTATAAGAGGCGTTTCCCTCTGATTTGTACACGGTTCACATACGAGAGCGTGAACGAAATTGCATGGATGCCTGTTGCCATTTTGTCGACTGTTTACGTTGAGTTCACACCCTGTGCGTCACTTTAGATGCCAAGAAATTCAAGGATCGCGATCGCAAGGCACAGCTCACATGCTACAACTATGTACAAAAGATGCTTGGTTTAGACTTTATATAGATACGCAATGGACAATTCACGGAGAGATTTGTCGGCATGAAACAGATTGAAACGCAAGATCGAGCTCGGTCCAATGCATCCCAGGTCGAGGTTCTTTAAGAGCGGTTCGCCGAAGGTCACCGAACAAGCAAAGCATGAACAATGTTTACGGTTTCCCCATCTTTTTGCGCAGATAGAAATACGGTACGCAACCTTTTCTGGTAGCAATCCAGATTGTATACTCATTGCCGTCCTATCTTTCCAGCAAAAACTTGTGTGCACATCTCACTGATGGCGATGACAGCGGCTCGTTGGCAGCGAATTCGCTGTACCCATCACCGTCACGTTTGAAGTGTACCACCTCAGAATCCATGTGGTCCACACCGAACGATCCAAGTAGCTACAGCATATCCTCCTTCACGTTCATTTGCGAATTTGCTTCAAGGCCCGCACTCCGCCTCAGCAATCGGCTTTTGCGCTCTGCAAACTTTACCAAAATCATGCTTCGCTCGCAATGCCTTTTTGTGAACCGTCGTGTGAGTACTAATCTCACACGCGTGCAGCAGACACGTGATGCCAGTACCATTAAGAAACTCATGGCTGCTAATCGCGGCGAGATTGCTACGCGGATCATGCGCGCCGGAAACGAGCTCGGTATCCGTACGGTCGGTATTTTCTCCAAGGAAGATCGCTTTACACAACATCGTTATAAGGCGGACGAGAGTTTTCTCGTGGGTGAAAACAAGTCGCCCGTGGGTGCTTATTTAGATATTGAGAGTATTATTCAAATAGCAAAGGAAAACAAGATTGAAGCCATTCATCCAGGCTACGGGTTTCTCAGTGAGAACGTTGGCTTTGCTCAAGAATGTGCCAAGAACGGCATCAAATTTGTAGGTCCTACGCCTGAGAACTTGCAACGTTTTGGTGACAAGACAGCGGCACGTGAGATTGCCATTGAACAGAACGTGCCAGTTGTGCCTGGTACGGATGGACCTGTTCATAATCTCGAACAGGCTCGTGCTTTTATTGAATCGGGTGTGGGTTACCCTGTGATCATCAAAGCCAGTATGGGAGGAGGTGGTCGTGGTATGCGTGTCGTCACGTCTGCCGAGGAGCTCGAGGAGAACTTTGAGCGTGCCAGTTCTGAAGCCCTGGCAGCTTTTGGTGATGGTACCGTGTTTATTGAGCGCTACGTGGACCGACCACGTCACATTGAGGTGCAGATCCTTGGTGACGGTCAGGGGAACGTCGTGCACTTGTTCCACCGTGACTGCAGTGTGCAACGTCGCCACCAGAAGGTGCTGGAGACGGCTCCCGCAGTGGGACTTGACCCAAAGACAGAGAAGGCTATGATTGACGATGCTGTGCGTCTCACCAGTGCTGCCAAGTATTTGAATGCAGGTACCGTCGAGTTCCTCGTGGACCAACAGGGTCGCCACTACTTTATTGAAGTGAATCCCCGTATCCAGGTCGAGCACACGATTACGGAGGAGATTACGGGCATCGATTTGGTGCAGAGTCAGATCCGTATTGCCGGTGGTGAGACTTTTGAAGACTTGGGTCTTAGTCAGGACAAGATTAAGCCTCGTGGACATGCCATGCAGTGCCGTGTGACCACGGAAAATCCGAGCACGGGTTTCCAACCGGACTCGGGTGTCATTGAGGTATTCCGTAGCCCTGGAGGCATGGGTATCCGTCTCGACGACGGTCCTGGATTCGTTGGCGCTCACATCACCCCCCACTATGACTCACTGCTTGTCAAGGTGACTGCACGTGCTCTAGACCGAGGTGACTGTGCGCGCAAGTTGAAGCGCGCGTTGTCTGAGTTCCGTGTGCGTGGTGTCACCACGAACAAGAGTTTTCTGAATAATGTGCTGAATCACCCGGATTTCATTAAAGGCGTTATTGACACGAGCTTCATTGCTGCCAACCCGGACCTGCTGCTGCCGTCGAAGTCAACGAACCGTGGCCAGAAGATGCTCAAGTACATCGGTAACACGATCGTGAACGGACCGGAGAAGGCTTTGGGTGCTACTGGCCCTGCTCCGTCCAAGGTCGATCCGCTTATTCCTTCTCTGTCGGCGCCGGCTGCTTCCAAGGAGAAGTCGCTGCGCCAGATTTACGTCGAGAAGGGCCCGGAGGCGTTTGCAAAGGCCGTTCGTGCCAAGAAAAGTCTGTTGCTGACCGACACCACGTGGCGTGATGCTCACCAGTCGCTGCTTGCTACGCGTATGCGTACGCGTGACATGCTTGCTGTTGCTCCAGCTACTTCCATCGCCATGCGTGATGCCTTCTCGCTCGAGATGTGGGGCGGCGCAACGTTTGATGTGTCGATGCGGTTTTTGCGCGAAGACCCCTGGGACCGTCTTGCAATTTTGCGTGAGGCTGTGCCGGATATTCCGTTCCAGATGTTGCTCCGTGGCGCCAATGCTGTGGGTTACACGAGCTACCCGGACAATGTAGTGTACAAGTTCTGTGAGAAAGCTCAGGCCACTGGTATGGATGTATTCCGTGTGTTCGACTCGCTCAACTACCTTGAGAACATGAAACTTGGCATTGACGCGGTTGGTGCTGCCGGCGGTATTATTGAGGCTGCGATGTGTTACACCGGCGATGTTTCCGACCCGACCCGCGGCCCGTATAACCTCGAGTACTACTTGGATTTCGTGCGTCTGTTGGTGGCGCAGGGCATCCACGTGTTGGCCATCAAGGATATGGCTGGTCTGCTTAAGCCCAAGGCTGCGCATATTCTAATTTCTGCCATCCGCAAGGAGTTCCCGGACCTGCCGATCCACGTCCACACTCATGACACGGCAGGAACGGGTGTGAGCTCAATGCTCGAAGCTGCGTACGCTGGTGCAGATGCTGTTGATGTGGCCTCGGACGCCATGTCGGGCACGACCTCGCAGCCGTCTATGGGTGCGATTGTCGCGGCCTTGAAGGGCTCCGAATACGATACGGGCGTGAATGCCGAAGACATTATGGAAATCAATGACTACTGGGAGATGCTTCGCGGCGTCTACGCTCCGTTCGAGTCTGGCCAGAAGTCTGGCTCGGCTGACGTGTACAATCATGAAATGCCTGGCGGTCAGTACACGAATCTTCTTTTCCAATCGACGCAGCTCGGTCTTGCGGGTCAGTGGCCGGCAATCAAGCGCGCTTACGCAACGGCTAACCGCCTCTTGGGTGATATTATCAAGGTAACACCTTCGTCCAAGGTGGTGGGTGATTTCGCTCAGTTCATCGTGCAGAACAAGCTCACGGAGCAGGAGGTTATTGACCAGGCTGATACGTTGTCATTTCCAAAGTCAGTGGTGGAATACTTCCAGGGTTATCTGGGTATCCCGCACCACGGCTTCCCGGAGCCGCTGCGTTCGCGTGTCCTGAAGGGCAAATTGCTGCCGAACGGTCGTGAAATGTTCGAGGCCCGTCCCGGTGCTGAGATGCAGCCGTACAATTTCGAGGCGGCGGAGAAGAAGCTGAAGGAGCAGTACGGCGAGGAAAAGATCCGCGACGTCGACGTAATTTCGCACGCTATCTACCCGGAAGTGTTTGCGGACTTCATGAAGTTCAAGGACGAGTACGGGTCGATGCACTTTTTGGACACGCGCACGTTCCTGACAGGTCTGGAAGTTGACACGGAAGTCGAGATCGAGATGGAGCACGGCAAGACAGTGTTCATCAAGCTCGTCGCAGTCGGTGGTGTAAGCAAGAAGGATGGTTTGCGTGACGTCATCTTTGAGCTCAATGGTCGCCAGCGTGTGATCAAGGTCAAGGACGAGGCCGCAGGCGTGGCCTCTATGTTGAAGCCTAAGGCCACGACAATGACTGGTTCTGTTGGCGCCCCGATGCCTGGTGTTGTGCTTGATGTGCGTGTGAAGAAGGGCGAGAACGTGAAGGCTGGCGACGCTCTGCTTGTGCTGAGTGCCATGAAGATGGAGACTGTTGTGGCAGCTCCAGTAAGCGGTCGAGTGGCGTCAATCCATGCTGACGTTGGCGACAACATGCTTGGTGGCGACCTCCTCGTAGAGATTGACGAAACTGGTGACGACGAAGATTAAGTTTATCATTACCTGCTAACAAATTGTCCAATGCAGCAGCAGTATGGTAAGTTCATCATGAAAACTCAAATAAGTAAGCAATTGTCTTGATAGCTTGTTTCAATCAGATCATAAAGCTTCTCGTTCAGTCATGGCGAGTGCACAGCAACAAGAAACGGTCATTCGTCGTCACGTTCACGCGGGATGCATCTATCTGGTCGAAATGTATCGTCCTCACGCGAAAAACGCTTTCAGTGACGCCCTGTATGAGCAGCTGACGGTTGCGTTGGACGAGTTCGAGACTGACCCTTCTCTCCAAGCGTTTGTGCTCACTGGTCATGGCGACTACTTCACTGGTGGTAGTGACGTAAAGGAGATGGCTGTTATTTTGAGCGACGGATCGTCGGTCCGTCCACCTTCGCAGAGTCCATCGCATACTTTCATGCACAAGATGCTGGACTGCAAGAAGCTGTTGGTGGCAGCAGTGAACGGCCCTGCTATCGGCATTGGCGTCACGCTGCTTATGCACTGCGACATCGTGTTTGCAGCTGATAGTGCCACTTTCTGGACGCCGTTCCTCCGCGTCGGTATGGTACCGGAATTTGCATCGTCTTACACGTTCCCACACTTGCTGGGACCGACAGTAGCGAGCAATTTGGTCATCCGCTCCAAAATCTACACAGCTAAGGAAGCGCTCAGTGCCAAGATTGTAGGCGAAGTCTTTCCAACTAATGGCTTCCTAGCGGCAGCACTAGCGGACCTCACGCCGATTGTGACAAACCGCTTCAACCAGACCAGTCTGCCGGTATACACGTCGCTACTGCGCCGCGAACGCGCCCCAAAGATCCGTGAAGCGCTGTTTTACGAGTTCGAGCAGTTGGATCGTCGTGTGGCATCGGGTGATTTTCTGGCCACGATGATGGAGCTCAAGAAGCAATTAAAGAGCAACTCCAACAGCAAATTGTGAGTAACAGGCTAGGCTAGTCACATCTGCTTCTCCACGCAGCTCTCTACATAAAACTTGGTGAAAACTCGTTGAAATGTAGCTGAAGCTAATCTGCCAACGCAATAATTCCGCTTGATTCGTAGCAATGGATGAGCTGCAACTTCTTGAGCTCGTCAATTGCTCGGCTGCCTTCTTCGAAACTCGGGCAGCTCTGCATACATGAACGAACTCGATACGCAAGTTAGTCAAGCGAGCAATTTTGCGTACATCAATTGTTTACGTACGTTGAGGAAGGCTTTCATGTCGACCGTTTTCCGAGGTGTGGGAGGCACGTCGGTAGACGACGGAGAAGGAGAATAGTCGCTGCTTAATTGCTGGAACAGGCGTGTCATGAGCGTCCCGATGCCTGGAGTGTGAGCCAGCGTTCGAAGCAGTGAGTGCAATCGAACGCCATTTGAATTGATTTGGGGTGCGAAATCTTCCACCAAGCTTTCTAGCTACAGGACACACACGGATTGATCAATTCAACGGGACAAATTGTACAAAGACGGAAATTGCAATAGTACTTACATGAGCCGTCTCTTCCAGCACTTCCCGCTTTTCTTCCTCGTACTGAGCCTTTAGTGATTGTCTCTAGAATATATATGTGTACAACAACAAGCTGTTACGTTCCAATTTCTAGATATCCACAACAATGCTAGCACACACGTACGTCGATTTTCTCCATAGTCGCCTTCTGCACCTCCTTTAGCAGCACAATTTCCTGCTGAATCTCCACAAATTCATTCTGAGCACGTTCTTCCTCACGTTGGCGCCGTTCCTCTGCACTTTGAGTGTCATCCGTAAAGTCTCCGTTCTCCTCTTCCAGTGTCGCAAACACTTCCTGCAACTGTCTGATCTCGAGCGTGTATTCGTCCAACTGGCCTTTCAAAAGTGCACGCTCTTCTACAAGATGTTGTTTCTTACTAGACTTTCTCTCAAGAGCTTCCTCACGACGTCGTTTCGCTCGTAAAGCTGCAGCTTCCTTCTCTTTTGGAATCTCTTGATCCAGTAACTCTGCCTGATCGTCCAATTCCTTCAGCATTCGTGCGTATTCCTCCTGTATATCTGTATTCCGACTCTTGACGAGATCACAAAACTACACACACACAAAGCATCAGTCCAATTGTTTTATCTTTATCTTCTGCAACTTCAGTCCAAAAGCCCCACATTCTCGGAACGACGTCGTAGTTCCTTTTCCACTCGTGTTTTGGTAATTTCCATTCGTTCGGTCGTCTCGGTCCCAAGATCATAAATCTCTTGAAATTTCTCTTCCAATGTAAGTGAATCCCGCTCTGGATTTGCCGCTACAACTGCCAATTTAGACGTCAAGTGAGGCATTCCAGACTCGGGTAAAGCCTGTTCCATTCGTGTCAAAAACGTTCCGAGGATTGCATTTGTCGTACGAAGCTACAGTAATACACAGAAGAATACACACAGGTGGATATTAACCATCTCGTACGTAAGATGTGCGACAAGTCACAAATAGTAATGACCTTGTCGCTGCTTGCCGCCAATTGTAACACGCACTTAAGCAGCTCACCATGTGCATCCATGATTGCAATTGACATTGGTGTGCACGACATCATATATACTCATTTGTGTACAAGTGGTGGAATGTACACGATGTGTACACACACAAAACTTACAGAAATGACCCCACCACTTCGACCGCCTCTGGAGCCGCCATGGATGAGACCAGGAGCTTGTCCTGGTCAATTTATACGGCCTTTACCACCTCCATTTGGATACAAGACATCTCTGTCTTCTCCACGAGGTTATTATGGTCACTTTATGTCTTTTCCTCGTCCTCCACCATCATTTCATTGTCGTCCAGTGGTAGACAATGAGCAATTGTGGCTGGACACTTTCAAGCGGACACATTGTTCCTTCACGCCTGAGTCCCATGTGACTCGAAATGAATGGAAAGAACCTCCATTGAGGTTATTACGACGTCAAATTGTACACACGCAGAAGCTCGTGGAACAATTAAACGCAGCAGCGATGGCATTATCGATCGTTGAAAAGAAAATGGAGATGCTGCCTACAATTTCAAGTGAACATGAGGTGCATCCGATACACGATCAACGAATAAAAGCTCAGTATGAACGTCAAATTCAAGTGTGTGAGACATTGAAGAAACAGTTGGAAGCAATGAATGCTACGTCGGGACTTTTTCCAATGCAACAATTCATGGAGATTCGAGATTTTGCAAGTCGAGTCAACAAGAAAAAGGTACGAGGGACTGTTGGCATTTGACTGGATTTTGATGGGGTAGTGGTGCTGATATGGAATTATGGACAGGCTTATCGGAAACGAGCGAAGTTGCTGCGACGACGTGCTGATGCACGTATTCGGCGAGCAAAAGATTTGGAAAGTCGTGATGTGGAAGCAAGGGGCAAAGATGAAGTGGAACTAAAGATTATTGAGAATGATGAGTCTATTGAAGAAAAGACAGTGTCTTCTCTTTCGGAATGCGTTGCTCCTAAACAACAGACGGCGACTTGTTTATTAACAAATGAACGCAACTCGTCAAAGAAGTCTTTGGATCCAGAAACCTTGACGATTGACGCGTTCATTACTGTTCGACGAGCTTGGGACGCGTTCATTGCTTTTCCGCAGACACGAGGAGCTTCCACGATTCCTCCGGTACACAGACGCTTTCAATTGATAACGAGATGAATGTGACTAAATAATTGACTGGCTTTGTCGCTTGCTAACATGAACAGCATTTTGTGCCGCCGCCACCTGCGCCGTCTGTTCAGTGGGCTGAATATGTCGCATCCCCCGCCCATATAGGTAGTGGAGGCTAGCATTTGAAAGAAGATGGAAGCTCGTGTTGGTGACAGCGAGTACGCTTCAAATTCAAATTAGACGATGGAAAGAATGCAATTGCTAGATGCTGGATGTAGATGCCTCCTTTCTAGATGTTGCTCTCTATTACCTTTTCCGCACCAGACAACGTCACTCCCTAAGATCAACTTGTGCACCACACGGTATTACGCTGAGAGTTCGGCCACTTCGGCTCGTAGAGCCTGCTCCGTCTGGAGCTTCTGCTGCTGATCTTCGTTGAGCGAGTCACCAGCCTCCTTCTTAGCCTTGATCATGTCAATTTGTTTGAGCTTTTTCAGCAAGCCCTTCACCTTCTTGGCCTTCTCCTCATGCGTCAATTCAACTGGGCTCGATTTTGCCGAAGCCTCAGGAGTGACAACAGCGATCTTCGCGAGAGCCTCGTCCACAGCTGCCTTGGCTTCAGCAGCCTCCTGCGCCTTCTTCTTACGGGCGCTCTTGCTAAGCTTCTTAGGTACCGCAGCCACTCCCATGCCCGGAATGACACGAGGTAAAGCACCCGGAGTCATTGGACCGCCGCCGCGAGGAGCTGCATACTTGTTGCGGTCCAGCTTCTTAGAGCCGCCCTCTTCCTTGCGCATCATAGCGGCGAGAGCCCCTGTCGAGTTCGGCGGCCGGTAAGCCTGCGGCTTCGGTGCAGCCTTCGGTACCGCAGATGACGAGTCAAAGCCCGCCTCCTCGCCCTTTCGCCGCGGAGACTGAGGCCGGTTCGGGTACGTATCCTGAGCTGCTGGGCGGAACTTTAGGTCATACAGCTCGCCACGCTCCTCCTGGTAAATGGGACCAGCGCCATCATAACGAAAGATCTTAAACCCGTTGTCCACACGCAAACGTGGGAACGTAGTCGCTGTCGCAAAGTAGCGGCTATCAGGCGACCACGTGAACGTAGTGGCAGAGTTGGACGTTGCCGAGCCCATCTTTTTCAGCTTGTTGCGCTCCCAAAAGTCCATGTCACCGCGAAGGTTGCCAAATCCAGCAAGACACAAGAAGCGTCCATGCGGGCTCCAGCTGACGTGATTTCGAGGCGCTGCGCCGAATTCAAATACCGGCAGCGCCTTGTTGTCGTAAAGGGTGGCGTGCGCAGGCATTGTGCCGGCGATTACCACGAAACCGCGCCCGGTGGGGTCCCACGCCACATCGTGCACCGCGCCTTCCTTCGTGAGTGGCACGATGCAATCATATTCGCCATCGCTCTGCAGGAAGAAGAGGCCTGTTTCGCCGTAGTATGACTTGCCTGACGTATCAATATCCGTTCGAGTTTCAACAATTAGCGCACTGCCCGTCGGAGACCACTTCAGCGTCACGTCCTGTGCCTTGTAGAAGCTCTTTGTCGCCGTAGGCACATCCAGGTTGTTCGGAAACTGAAAAATCTTGACGCTGGCAGGCTTACCCTTCTTCTCTGGAACAAATAAAGCCACCTTGTATGGAACACTGCCAGGAGCCACACTAAAGTTTGCCACATTCTGATCACACGCCAAGACACTATCAGTCCTTAGCTCAATTTACATCACTGATATAGCCACATACCGGTAGGCTAATCTGGCCGATCGAGCCCGCTGCAACGTCTCGACCACTGTAGAGTACCACACCGTTCGCGCTCTGACGTACGCAGATCATCTCATCCGACGACCACCGCAGCGGTGGCCATTTCTACAATCATAAACACACAATATCCACGTCAGCTATCTACATCTCTCTCTCTATTTCTCTCTCTTCTTCTCTCATCAATCAGCTGACCACGTACATCACGTGAATAGGACTTCTGATTGAAACGTGCGACCACTTTGCCCGTAGCAGCGTCCCAAACGATAAGGTTACCAAGATCCGAGTCTTTCTGAGGTCGCTGCCACGTCAACAAGTGCGAACCAAGTGGAGACCAGGCCACTGCATGAATACCAGGATTCGCTACGTCCACCACGACATCATTGCTATCGGAATTGACCACTGTGAAGCCTGAACAAGTGCGTACGAGCACCAAAAACTTGCCATCGTCCGTAAACTCCAAGAGATCGGCCGAGCCCGAAGCTTTAAAGTCTTCATCGCGTTCAATTTTAAGGTCGTTTTTACTAAAAGAAGGCGGTCCCCAAAATGCCTCAATGGCATTTTTACCACGTAAAAAGAACTTGGTACGTGGTACATTGTTCGTCTCGTCTGTAGCTGTTGATCACATGCATATAAATGTCAATATCTTGATGGCTATTGAGAAGAAACAGGCAGGGAATGAAAGCTAGAGGGGCATTTACCTGTCACCATTGAAGCGTAGCAATGAGTGACATGTCACTTTTGATTGGTCCATGTATACCCATGTATACTTGGTATCCGGCTGTGCGTAAGTGCGTACCTGTAAAACATTGTATATCATCTGACCTTAACAATTATTGTACGTACAGAATAATTATTGTTGGTGCTTTATTGAATAAAATCATGCGTCAAAAAATATATATTATTGTTTTTTAATATCATTATTGTATTAGAAATTGGAATAAAGTGATTCCATGCTCGTGAGGAAGGGCGTTGGTGGGAAACGACATCGCGCTGGACGACGGCCAAGTCCCGTATGGTCCTTTTTTACCGAGATCCGGACAGCTGATAATAAAGTGTATGCCCATTGTAATTTCTGTCCCAAACGTCTTGCGGCTGTGGCTTCACGCATGCGACAACACGTACTGACCAAGTGCTCGCATGCACCGACGGACATTAATCGATTATTGGATGAAGCAATTGCGACTAGTGCCACAAGCGAATCGGTGGTACCAATTAGTATCGATAGTACAACAAATGGTGGCTCAGTAGCTGTTACAGACTTGGAGATTCCTCGAGATTCAGAGACGATTGTAGACTCGGTTTTATCGCCGTTTGTTGTTAAGAGACGGAAGAATTCGATGGAAAAACATCATGATATGAGACAACAAGGTGAAGCTTCAGATGAGGAGGACAATGGGTCGATATTGAGTCAAGAGAATACGACGATGTTCAAGGAGCAAGTTGAAGAAACTGTTGCTCAAAATGAAGTGGATGTCGTGGACGATCAAAGACACGATCAAGTGGAAGATAATGAAGACGATGCAGTCGGTCGTGTGTATCAGAAACTCGTGTTGGCTTGTGTGCTGAATGATATTCCTGCTACGTTCGTGGAGGACGAGGCACTGATAGAAGCGTTCGCGTTGGCACGTCCTGGACTACCGCGACTGTCGGCGGAGAAGGCTCAGACGACAGTGTTGCAGGAACTAGCAGATGAAGTGACCAAGAAAATGGAGCAACAAGTGGCAAGCTGTGAAGTGCTCACTCTTGTGTATAGACACGTTAAAAGGAGCCATACAGGAAACGATACAGGAACGTCGTCAAAGTGGTGCGATCGATGGGTAGGTGTGGATGAACACCGCAAGGTCTTTCCACTCAAGGAAACGTATCAGGAGGTCGAACCATTATCATCGTGTATGACAGATGAAAATTCTTGTAGATATTGCACATCACGTGAAGCATTTGATACCGTCGTGTCGACCTATCGCCTCAGTCTGGCTCCGGAAGCGGTCTTCTGTCTTTGTTGTGATTGTCCTCAAGTGTATCAGCAATTGCGTTTGGAACAGAAGCTGGCTCTGTCAACATCCATCCAAGACGCGGACACCGTGAGTCAACTTGCTGCCAAGTCAAAAACACAAATGCTGTTGAGCACGTGTCTAGTTCGTCTGTCTTTTGTACTGCGCAAGGAATTGCTAAACACATTCCCCGCAATCATTGATCTACTCAACAAAGCTATTTTTCTTGGTCACAGCGTGTCCAAGATTACATCACTACAACCACAACTGGAGAACCTGCTGGAATCATCAAGCTGGGATGCCGTACCCCGACTAGTCAAGCGTATGGTGTACCTGGAGAGTGATATTCGCCGATATCAAGCAAAGGTTTCTGTACCTGCTGCAGAAGTTGCTTCATTCTGGAACAAATTGCGTGTTGTGGACACGTTGCTTACGCCGTTTAATTGGATGCTGGCGCTCAGTGAAGCCAGAGAAGCGACGTCTGCGCAGTATATTGTACTTTGGCTGTGGTTGCTTGCAATCGTGGAATCCACGACGTCGTCATTGCTTCCAGAGCAAGAGAAGGAGTGCTTTGTATCCACTGTTATGTCTTTCATTGGACATCACATTGACTCGCATGAGCTTGTGTGCATGTTCTTGGATCCTCGCGTCGCTGGCGCTGGGCTTTCGATCTCTGGCAAGCGGCGTGTAAAATCAATGGTCGTTCAAGTAGCTGAGCGCGTGTTTCCCAGTGAAGGATTCGGCACTGGTGCTGCTCGTTCTCAGCTGCTAAACCAACTGAGTGATTATGCAGAGAAGACTGGTAGTTTTGCCGATGTAGTTGCGTGGGAAATGAGTGCGGGTCGACCTCCAAAATTGTTCTGGAACGACTTTGTAGAAGACGCACCGCATTTGGCTCGCGTGGCACGCGCTGTGATTGCCGTCACGCCGTACGCACAGACAGCGACCGAGTCGTTGAACCTTCCACTCCCGACAAAAGAATTCTCGTGGGAACAAACGTTTGCAGTGCAGCAATTGAAGTTTCAGGCTCGAAAGACATCACCTCAAAGCACTAGTGGTCTTGAGCAGTATCACTCGTTGTTATTCCCTCCTTCTCCGTTAACACAAGGCAGCGTATCGGATGGTACGCTCTCAGTTGAAGTGGACAAGGCTCTTCGAGTCAACAACAACACGCCACGATGGTCTGTAAGCGATGAAACCGAAGTCGAGGCGATCGTCACGCATCAATTGAGTTTGATACTAAAGGTAGGCAGTGACCATGATATCCATGTCAACCAAGTGCTGTCTACACCACCAAAACAAACAGCACAAAACAACGTGAGTCTCTCGTGGTTTGCATTTCAATCCATCAACGATCTCAAGACCTTGGAACAAACTGTCAAAAATTTCATCTCATGTCCCCCAACCGTCAACATCATCTAAAATTGAGTATTACATTCAAAACACTCCACCAACTCACGTGTCAAAATTGCTTCCATGCCAGAGATTTGACTTGCATTTTTGACAACTTTCTACGTGAGCACAGGCTTCGGTCTGGACGCAAATATGACACGCGTGCGAGCAATTCCGACCACCTCGTACTTTGTAGTTGACTCTGCATCTCCCTCTTCGTCCATAGCCACGTCAATCTCGCTCTCTTTGTGTAAAATGGCAAAAGGAGTCGACAAGTTCATGACTTTTCCCGTCAGCACGTGATTTCCAATACGAAGCGTGAGTGTTTCTCCCTGTCCGTAACGAAGTGTCCCAATATCCAGTCCACGTAGATCTAGTGACTCCATGGGAAGTAAATCGCCCTGAAACTCGAGCAAACTCCACTCTTGGAGTGCTTTATTTACGACCACGGGCACTAGCATTTTCTTGGTTGGTTGTTGCAAAAAGTGTCAAAATTATCCGGTAATTTTGACCATTTCGACCATTTCGACCATTTGGACACTGCTGTCTGTTGTGGACCACGTCACGTCTTTATTTTTGACATCCGTCTGAACCGCCCACTTCATATCCGACCGCTTCATTTTTGACATTTTCGACCATGTTTGCTCTCGTGCGCTCCAAGGACCTCCTTCTACATGGAATTAGAGGCATTCGCTCTGTCAGTACCATAAGTGCTGCATTGGATGAAGCGGTGGCTCGTCTACCACATAAAGAGGCATTGCGTAGCGTCAAACAGGACGTTCGTTGGAGCTTTAACGAATTAAATGCCCGTGTCGAAGAACTGGCGAATGGATTCTTGGACTTACAGTTCGAAACAGGTGACGTTGTGGCTCTATGGCTCCCTATGAGTGTCGAAAATGTGGTGACGCAGCTTGCAGTGGCCCGTGCGGGTCTCACACTGGCCGTGATCGAGCCACAAGTAGCAAAAGCCGAGGAACTCGCGTTTATCCTGCAGGACAGCAAGGCCAGTGGTCTAGTCTTTGAGCCAAAACAGGCTGGTCGTAATCAGACGGAGATTGTGCAAAGTCTATTCCCGGAACTTGCTACGTGTACGGTCGTAAATGGCATTTTTGACATGTAGTTTTTGACAGCCATGCTTGGCTGGACAGTTTGATTTTTGACATATATGCGGTGACGTTCTTTTTTGACATAGTTCGGAACCGGATGGAGGTTTTTCGTCCCAAGAATTTTCGTCATTTGCACAGTGTGATTACTACGAGCTGGGAACCGACGGAAGGGATGATTAATCTTAGTGGAATGATGGTGAATTGTCCAGAACCATACGCTATGAAGGCTGTAGCCAAGACGTTGAGTGACAAGACACCACTTGCTGTCACGTACTCGAGTACGTGGCTGTATTTTTGACATCGAATATTTGTTGCTAATTGCTGATGAATGGGATGATATTCTTGTTGTACGTGCAGAGATGGAGGGGCAAAATCCCAAGAAGAGTGAGGTACTTACCCATGGTGATGTCTTGAAGCGCGCCGAGACGCTAGCTAAGAGGTTCACAAGCAATGTTTTGGAGGTTGTTGATGCCTTGTGGTGAAGCTAAGCTGTTTTTTCTGAATTCTTGACGCCTGTAGCTTGAAGCTGACTGCCACGGACAAGATTCTACTCACGGGTGAAAAGACTGGTCTGTCTCTTGGTCCGTTCGCTGCCATTACCCAGAACTCGCAGATTGTACTATCCACGGAGTTTACCAAGGAAGCCGTGCAGCAGGCCATTGAGGCGGAGCACTGCAGTATCGTAGGCAGCGGACTTGAGAATTTCAAGCGCGTGTAAATTGAAGGCGCTACGATGCATCATCACTTCTAACTATCTACTGAGTAGATGAAGAAATGAACAAACATGAAGCGAGAGTGGGTAAACGAAGCGACTGTGTTCTTGCTTCGTGAATATTTTGGCTGTAGTAATGTTGTATCTCATCGCTTCCATGAGCGAACTGAGCTCTTTCCCTTGCAGGTATGGACGCATATGCATGAATTTGCTATGATGAACACACGAAAGTTTGCTTCACAGTCTAGTCTCAAGCCATGAGAATGCCACCAAGACCAAACGTGATGGTAGCAAGCAGCATGGAACGCATCGTCTCGCGCGATGTGTAAGGCGGAAGCTCGACGGAGAAGAAACACGTGTGAGCAACCGGTAGGCTGCGCGTGGCGTCACGACCTCCTCTCTTGGACAGCTTAAAAGGCTGTGGCCACTTACCGCGTGGCAGACGACTTCGGCCCCATGCGAAGCGCACAAAATCTGCGCGTTGCTCATCGGAAAACTTCCCAAGAGCCTCCCAAAAGAGCAGCACTGTTGGATCGTCCTCAGAGTAGCCGTCATAACGCGTGTGTCTCTGCCAGAGATCCAAATCGATTCTCGGCGAGCCGCACGTGAGTATCTCAAGTTCCTGCCACGTTAGCAGTGTCAACACACGGCGAGGGAATAGCATCGCGAAACCTTGGGCCATAGCAGCTACCTGTGCACTGCATTCCTCCAAACGTGCGAGCTCTGCAAGACGACAATACTCCAATCGGTTGTGGAACCCCACCGTGACATGACGGCCACCTGGCACAAGTTCGATATTTTCTCCTGTGCATGACGAGGCAGTAAAACGCAACTCAAGACCAGCAAAGGCCGTAGCGAATTCTTCCTCCGTGGAGATGCCATCGTTATCACAATTAGCAATGCCGTCCAGCATTTGGATAAACATGGTATCGGTGTCTTCGAGATCAGCGCGCGTGAGCGTTTGGCCCAACAACTGCTTCCACACTAGTGATGGTAGCATGAACGGAAAGTCACCACGCGTACGCAGTGAAATTCCCAGAAGCTGGCCAACGAAAGCGAACATTTGTATGGCAACTGGAGACGTGCACTTGGGGTTAGGCAAATACATTCCTCGGTTGTTGCCAATGTCGTGCTGGCCGTTGGGGCACAATACGAACAATCTGAAATGTGAAGAAAACAAGTCGTCGACGATGGATGTGGCACCCTCACGATACACTCCACCCCAGTCCACACCTTCCTCACCGCGAAACTTGACGCTGAAAAGTCGACCTTTGCTATCAATCTGACGCCTTAACAATGCCGGGTCTACCTGATGCAGCTGGCGGAACGCCTGCGCGAAGAAACATTCAGACACAGACGGCTCCACTTCGCGGTCGTCACGCGATTCGAGCGCCTGCATTCGGTCCAGTGTGATACGCGCTGTCTGCTGTTGCGAGTTTCCACTGGAAATCTCTCCTGGAAGATTCGTAGCTTCAATTGCAGATTCCACCAGTGCGCTCTTCACGTCGAAGAAGATGCAATGGCTCAGCTGACGCAACCGGTGTGCTATCGTCCACGGCGATTTTGTGTCGCGTAGGTCAAGCAATGACAAGCAGTGCTGTAGGCTCATGTTGAAATACTTCAACAACGCAAATCGAAGTTGTAGCGACTCCAGTGACAGGTTCAATATCTGCGAGCAGCGCAGCCCATCAACCGTTTGATTGAGCTTGATATCTACTGGCTGTAGATCCACAGAATGCCGCGTCGTCGTTGGGGTGGGTGACGATAGTGACGCTGTAGGTTCCACGTGATTGTTGACCCAATCCACGAGCTGTGAGTCCATTGCTTCCGTCCAGCACTCTTCATTCGAAGAGCCATTTGAACCTTTTTGCAGTAGCACAAGCCGTTGGAGAATGTGCTCCATGTCCTTAACAGTTGCGCACGAAATCTGTTTCTCCTTCGAAATGCCAGGAGCATTTACCGTTGCTGCAAAGCCAAAGTGATCCCCGGCGTTTTCATTCGCATGGAACGTGTACTCCAGATGATTTCCATCATAAGAAATGGCACGTTTAGGCCACCCATTCTCCACATACGTTCGGTTGCTACGGATATCCTTTGTTGGCTCACCGGCACCGTCGTAACGAGAATCAATCATAAAGCTGGCTAAATCGAGCCTCGACATTGCTTGACCTACTTGACAAGGCGCTAGTGAACAGCGTGAGTCGAACGTTACCCAGAGAGATTCAGCACCTTCAAACACAACGACGCCATTTAGCTGGGAGCCAGAAGCGTACGGATGGGAACTTTCGATGACTATGGAGGACCCATAGACCTCCAGCCATATCGCAACCAAGATATGTTGAGGCAGATTAGACGTTTGCCCAAGCAGAAATTCTGTGAGCACCGACACATCATTCAGACTATCTCGCGCGCGTTTTTGCTTAAACGGCACAGGCAAATCAAATGGTGCAGCTAGAAGTGGTGCTGATGTTACGCTGATGCCAGCAAGCTTGCGTTCGAAGACAGACGCAGCGGAGGAGATTATCATGGATAATTCCACTAGTTGCAATAAGTGTGCTGAGAGAAACACCTTGCCACTTGCTCTATCGACCTCAGCACATGTCAATGCTAACCGGGAGATCGATTCCAAAGCGCCCAATTCGGGTATTGCATCAACCGGGAATAGCTCAGAGTGGTACAACAATTGCTGAAGCAAGCGCACAACGCGGCCTTTATACGGAGCTCCTGGTGAGCGCAGGTAGCGTACAAGGGCATCATAGATGTTGCGATTGTGTACGGCTCCATGGGCTACCAGCTCCGTCGCGTCATTAAGCAAAAGTTCCAGCAGCCAGCATGCCCACTCCAGCGATGGGTTTGTCAGCACTTCAGACTCTTTCGTCCAACGGACATTAGTCATGGGCTTTACTTGAAAGCGATAACCATAGCCATTATCTTTTGTAACGTGTTCTTCCGAAGCCGTAAAGCGGAACCAAAATTGATGCGAATGGATAATCACATCCGGCAGAAGATGGCCAGAAGCCGTCATGGCATTGTCTACCATCCCGATGCGATCCTCACACTCCGGGTCCGCGAAGAAAGTCAACTTTGCCTTGGGTCCCAATCGACAGCGACGGTCAAACACAATACGTAAGCAACGATAAGAGCTGTCAATCCTTACAGCTCGAGCGTACTCGGATCGCCCGAAGTATGGATGCAACGATTGGAACTCCTGGACCGCTGACACCTCGCCTGCACCATCTTCCGCCATTCGCGTAGACTCTACAAAGTGACTGACGCACTCCTTGACCAGCACACTAGATAGTAGGCCGTCGTGGCCATCAACTCTACCACCCAAGTATGCACTAGTAAGCTCCTGTGCTTCTAGGTCGGACGGTTGGTGAATTATTCTCATGTAATTAGATGCGTCTTCACTCTTTCTTTCACCAACTAGCCATCCATCATGCCTTGCTTCTGCCGAGTCCATACGCGCAGTTGTCACAGGCGATGCTTCGATGGACATCGCGGTAGCTCGCCTCAGCTCTTCATCGTCGCCTCTTTCACTGTATTCAGCAACTCCAGGAACCGAATGACAAATCGATACTACACCACTAAAATCCGTTCGATCTTCAGCTTGTTTTGCGACACGAGAGCGAGGTCGAGGTGACTGTAATCCGAAATTCTTGACCTTTCCCCTTCGTGCTTCTTCACGTAGTAGTTTCAGCGTTAGCTTCTGCATGCTTGCCAATAAGGAGACGGGCTGTTTAGCAACTGTTGTGCCACTTGCATGATTTCTGTTTGGTAAGCCATTGGCGTCCGGGGGCTTGATAGAATTCATTTCGGAGGCAGACACCATCTTGAGGAGATTTACGAACTGACGCGGACCTCCAACAACACTAAAAATTTCACTCGCAAGCGAAGACGATAGCAATGAAGGCTTATCTTCGAGGGCATGAACATTATCAACGTCCTTCATCCCTGGCACCTTCGGAATTGAATCCTCAAGAGAAGCGAAAGCGCAGAGTAAAGCTGTAATAGCACGTCGGGCATAATACGTAGAAAGAGCATTCTCCGTTCTCGTTGCGACGCGATGTATGCTTTCCACACCCTCTAGAGGCTCGTCAAAAATCCTTACAATTCGACGCAAGTCACGCGGGGAACAAAATTCGTCCTCGTACGCGCCAGACTCCGTGTTCAAGAAAGTTATCAGCACACCGTCATCAGGTGAATAGCGCCTGTAGACACCTGTTCGTCCACTAGCAACTGCTTGTTGAACTGGGCCACAGTCACTTGTTACCGTCAAGAGGACGTTTGGAGTTAAATACTCCGGATCAAGAGGCGAGAAGGCTGTTACACTCACATCACGGGCTGCTACAGCCCCTGCGTTAAGCTTTAGAGAACCGGGCGCTAATATTGGAGCTAGGGTCACTGCCATTGCATCAGCGCTTGGCGTGTAAGGTACCTCTCCACTTCGTGTTGATGTAGTAGAGCCCAAATATTCGGCAGCTATAGCGTCTTGGCGGCTGGTAGACGTTACAAGCGGGTCGGGCTGATCAATTTCTTCCATAGCCGCCCGGTCTTCCAAAACAACAGTTCTCGCCGCCAAAAATGCGTCGGTCAGCAGATCTAGCGAATCAAACTTTTCGATATAGCTACTGCCGTGTTCCATTAGCCACTCCATAGCACGATTGGGATCGCTGTTCGACAGCTCCAAAGCGCACAACGCAAGACAATAAGGCATTCCAGAGATACTTTGCAGCTCTGTCGCCTTCGTTTGGATTGTCAGACCTGAAGTCCCATCTGCTCCATCAGCCAACCCATGAGCCGCGATACTTGCCCGTGCTAAGCGTTGTGCTTCTAGACGTTCCTGGTACGTTGCTGCGCCGTCACCCATCAGCCATTCAACTGCCAAATTAGGGTCATCACGGGAGTGTTCCAATGCAGCCATGCATAAGTCAAATTCAAAACCCATAGCAGCCAGCGTCGACGCAAAACCTCTACGGACGCGATGAGCTTCTGTTTCTTCTTCGGCAGGGTCATCGTTTACTTCAACGTCGCTAGAATTTGGAAGTGCTATTGATTCAGACGCGGCAAGTGCTGGGGCTATAGGTTCCTTCAGCCCGTGAAACATTGCTTTGCCGAGTGGAGTCGAGGACTCTATCAAACGACACAAAATCATTCGACCTCGCTCTTGAAGCAATGGCAGACTGAGAAAGCTGTCAAGACTTGTTGGAGTTAAAGCAAATCGAAGCAGATTCTGGGCCATGGCATCGTGAGCAAAACTTTTTGTCACAAGAACTGAATGGCGCAAAAGAGGTTCTAGAGCCAGCAACGCACGAGAGCGGATTTGCAATCTCCATAAGCTGTCAAATTCCTTCAAAACACTTGTTTCCTCCAAAGAAGTGAGCTGTAGAATCACAGGCATCATGTCCATAGACAGTGGCACGACCGTCGATGATAAGAAGATTTCTTCAGTCGGAGAGAGAGTTGACAGCTTCACATCTTGTACATTGTGACTGGGGTCGAAGTCCACATCTGACGACATAGGGTGAAAGATAACACGAACTGTAGAAGCGTGCGGATTCATCTCGATCAAAGTTGCATTCACATAATTTTCACTGCCGTCCGAGGCAATCTCGGTCCCGCTACTGTTAGTACCTTGAGTAGTGACCGCAACTTTTCCGCCAATTCGAATACAATCCGAATGAGTACCAAGCACAGAAAGAGCCCCGACAGCTCGAATGATTGCTGCCCGGATCCTGATATCGGAAGGATCTGCGTTTCTCATCATCTCTGGTGACCAAGAATCAGAATCATGATTTTTCCTGGCCAGAATCGGGGTGATGTTGCGAATTGCATTGCATAAGTTCTCTGCTACTTCTTGCTTCCAGTGCTTTTCCATCAGTAGAAGCCGCAACAAAGCCACACTTTCCGAGGCCATCACCAGAGAGATTTCACCAGAACGAAACCCGATTGGGTTGCTTAATGACTCTGACGATGTAAACGAATTGTCTTTGTCTGCATTTCCAGCCTGTGCACTACTTGCTGGGACTTTGACTGCGTGGGTCGCCATAGGTGCAGCTGTACTACACACTGACTCAGCCACTTGATTAAGCAGCAGATCGATCAACACGGACTCGGACCCAAGGACGGCACCAACGTCGGACGGCTTGACACTACAACAAATTCTGCGAAGAAGCAGTTTGATAACACGCTGGGACCGAGGAGACGCAATGCGAAGCATTTCTAGCAAACCTCGAAGCATATGCGCACGTACTAGATATGTGATTGCTGGAGATTGCTGACTTTGCGAAAGCATGAACAACAGGACCCCAAACATGTGCGTCTCAACTTCGAGCGGCTCTAAAAGCTCACTGTCTTCCGATAAGTCACTCGGAGCATGATGAACATTCACAAATCCGGATTTTCCGAGCGCTACATCGCTTGGGTATTGACGGAGACTCGCACCTCGCTTTTGGACAGGAGTTGAAACTGAACGAGGCATTCGCTGAGCACGCATCAGTCCTTCGGCTGCTTCAGTAAGTCCCTTTCCTTGAATCAGTTCTTTTTCAAGAACCTCAAACACTTTTCTGTGGAACTCTTTTGAAAACCACAATGTTTGAAGAACGGGCTCTTTCATTTCTCTGTTCGTAGCTGCACTCTTAGCTGCATCGCTTGCAGCTTCAGCTGTTCGAGTAGCAGCATCTTCAATTGTGAGACCCAAACTCGAACCGTGTGAGGCTTGGGCACTTAGCAATTCATTAACCACAGGCGATGTCCCAGTCTCGGAATTGCCTGCTTTTTGAAGCCGCTGCTTTCGCTTCATTTTTGCAACAGCAGCAACCGACTTAGCTTCTTCTTCTCGCCTATCGTAAGTCCCACTTATATCAGTTGACGCTAAGAAGCGAAAAACAACCCATGCACATCTTCTTGTTTGCTTTCGAATAATCATCTGCTCATCAGTACACGCGTTCCATTGAGAAATTATTTTGCTCGTCATTGTGTTCGGCCACTGGTCAGTCGATTCACCCCGTTCGGCTTTGCCTCCACGCAAGTATGCATCAATATCATTACAGAGTGTAACCTCGCTATCATCGCCATCCATCCGCGATAACTGGTTCCATTTTTGTATTGCAATGTGTTCATCGCATTCACAGACCAGTTTTGCGAGACGAACGGATTCATTGAATTGAGTCGTCAACCACGATCGAACTTTTCGCTGAAAAAAGCAAATGGACATTACGGTCCGGCTCCATTCATCCGGTGACATATTGTCTAAAATATCATTTCCAAAGACTGGTAGAGCTGCAGGAACCCAACGACAGTGCGACATCATTAAGTTATGACCCCTTGCCTCGGGACCTTCGGTTGCAGCTTTTAGCACAGGAGCAAAATCATAGCCACATATACCTTCTCCTTCCGCCAGATGCCACAAACCGATCATAGTGTTGGAGAAACCTTGTGACTTTGTGACCGATGAATCAGTCGGGTGTTTTACCAGAGGAATGCTGCGCTGGAAATCACGCAGAATCTCATGACCAGCACGCGAGACTTTCCATATTCGCACCTCAGCAATCGATCCTTTAAATGTGCGCTGTGAAAAGATGTTCGTGAGCGCTTCACCATGTGTGTCGATACCACTCATCCAACAACCGAGTCGCGAAGGGTGGAAGATCACGCTGCTGCAAACTTGTTCAAATTCTCTTTTCTCGGATAAAACTCCGTTCACGAAAAACTGGAGACATCTTTTTGCTGTCTCGTACGTGACCGCGCAATGAACCCATTTAAAAGTCTGAAATTGGTACAATCTAAACAATTGCTCACGTGGGGAATTACCTGGGATCGATAGCTGCAAATGCCGCCCAATTAATTCCAGGTATACACTTCCATTTTGAACGCCATTATTACACCATAATGCTTGATTTCCTACAAGCTCAGTTGGAAAGATCCACATTTCCATTGTGAAATCATTTGCTTCACCTAGCGCCGGCATCTCCACGTAGCTGATATCGTCTGTTTTCGGGTTGGTAGCTGCTTGGACACCACGTGCGGTGGGTGGTGTTATCCGACTACCGAAAAGCAATACTTTACAAGTAGGAGCACTAAGCGGAGGGCCAACCAGCTTTCGTTGAAGTCCAGCCAGCATATCAGCATAGAGTAACAAAAGCGAGGAAGCAGTGTGGCGTGCGGTTATTGGGACGCCATCTTTTGTCTTCTCCATATTGTTCTTCTCCCACCATTCTGCTGGACACGCGTAAGGAGGAGCCCGATGGAGGAGCCGGATAACGTCACGTTTGGTCATGTAACCACTTCGTAGAAGTCCTTGCTGAACAAATTCCTCTGACAAAGGATGCCAGTTAATACTGGAGTAGCCACGTAGTGAGCCAGGTGACAGGGTCCTAACCTCGTTGGCAGCGACTCCCTCGCGAAGAACAGATCGAATGGAAAATATTTCCTGCAATTTGGACAGAATTCCGGTGTCAAGCAAGAACTGGTGATCCCGAGGCTCAAAATCCAAACTCCATGAGCACAGTATAGTTTGCTTTAGCTGTGGATCGGCTATACTGTAGCCCGAGCTCCCACCGAGCAGTTGTGCCAAATGGGTGTATAATTCGCAAAAAGCGTTTTGAACGCTTTCAATGGTTTGTCGATTACAACCCTCGAGTCCTTTCAAATAGTGATGGCGAACAGTAGCCCGAAATGTCTCTGTCACAACCTGCCCGTCATTCAGTTCTCGTGATTCTTTCTCGCTCTCAGTAAACCCTCTCATTGCAGGCCGCAAGAAAATCAGAGCATTGTGAATAGCCGAGTCGTAAGACAGCAGCGATATTATGCTCTTCATCGCTTGAAGACCAAATAGTCGAGAATCCGATCGCCGTTGGCGTCTTTCGAGCAGTAATGTGAGCACTTCGGGCGGTGCTCCAGTTCCGTTACGAATATACAATTCGCATGCTTTCATCATTGCGGAAAAAGTGTTTGTGTAGTCGTATTCCTTGGTCTCAAAAACGTCATCAGAATCCTTCGAATCCATGTCATCGTCATCTGCAATAAATTGCGGCGAAGTGAATGTGAGCCCTTGAATAGAGGCGTGTCGAGCTCTCCAGCGATGCTGAGCTCGTAATACATCGACGATTCCAGACCACTTATATCTATCTGCCTTACCTAGCGTTTTCCAGCGTTCAAGCATTGGTTGTAACGATGGAGGTGTCTTTTGAGCACTCCATTTCTCCGCTAAATTGAAGAGCGCAATCTGCGAGTCTCCTTTAACACGTTCAGCTTCTCCTGATGGTGGGGCCAGTTTACACAGAAATTCTGCTCGTTGAATCACTTGGTTTAAGAGGTCATCGAACGTTTTTGGCACCACCACGCTTTGCTCCAAATTAATGTCGTCACCAAATCGCCTTGGCGGAAAATACGTGGTCGTTGCAGCAGACTCTTCCGATTCCAGTTTTTGTGTATCGTGTTCGTTCAGTGAAGGTTCGTCTGCTTCTCTTGCGCGATACTCTTGTCGAACCTTTATCAGCCAATGACGCAGCATAATGATCCGCTTCCAAACACGAATAATATCGTCGGATGGAGTAAAATGTGCGTGAGAAACAAAAAAATCTGTCCCAACAACTTCGCAATCCGTATTGACCCCCGCCCCTGCAGCGATTGCTTGCACCTCTTGGAGTACGTGAGAGGGTGCATGCATTATTAAAGCAGCGCACATCCATCGTTCACATAACGGGAAACTTCCAAACCGACTCAGGAAAGTATGATCTGGGCAGTGTCTCTCCAGCCATGACATAATAAGTTGCACGGGCCCACGCCCAGTCATCTCCGCCGTCCAATTACCCCAAAACACAGGATCGCGTTGGCTTAAAGCTTCACTGGTTTCGAAGCGTCTTCCTGAATCACGCTTTCTCATTGCAAAATCTTCTCCGATACTTGACAACGTATTTTGCGATAAACCTGTCAAGACTCCAGCTCCAGTAATTTGGTCATTTGCCGGATAACGAGCACATTCAGCTTGGAGTACATCGCTCCAAAGCAATGGTATGCTCATACCTGACTGGTCCTGTCCGGCAAAAGGCTCTGCAATACCTCCACTAAGCAGTGGCGACTGCAGCCAAGGTAACAGCTCTTCTTCCGCCCCATCTACCGGGTGCCCAGCAATAAGAGTGCCAGCGATACGGCCAGTAAGGGAAGCCAATGAATTATGCAAATCAAATAGCCAGTGTATACAAAGACTTGACTTTGCGATTCCTGACGGACGCACTTGAACAACATCTTGAGAACCGTAGAGTGATACTCCAGCAGTGGCTACTTCAGGTAGTTTTTCAATTGCTGGTCCCAGAGGTCGGAATTCTGTGGGACCCACCGCAATCCCCATACTTTTTCCATTGTACACGAATGACAAAAGTTGCAAGTCGTAGTCGATAACGACCGTAAAAATGTCGCCCACACCAACAGAAAGCTTCGGCCCGTAATCATACCGCGTTCCTCCTACCCAAACAGAGCCGATTGAGGGCATCCACCCGATACTTGTCGGCGTTTCTCCCATAAAGGTTTCGTGCGCAGAGAGCTGTGAGCTTAAGCAGCACTCTCTCTGTGGCTGCCTCCAATCAATTCCAATACAAACATGCCCAGATACCATTCCTCCAGGACGCGAGCACTTGAGAGCGAAATCAACCGAATGAACACCATGAAGAAACGCCGTTCGCAGTAGGCAAGTTCGCCACATTTCGGTGCTATCTCTCACATAGGCCGATGTTCCTGTGTGGCTGATGCACACCGAGTTCAGCTTTTTCTTCGTGTTAAATTGTAGTGGAAGGCAACCATGTGGAGGCACAAACCGCGAAAGGCTAGCCAAAGGGGTTTCATCATGAACCATGAACGTCGGAACGCCGTACGCTGCACCCATCATGTTTTGAGACCCTGGAAATCCCACAGACCCGGATGCGTAGCAGTCCCGCAATATTTTAATAAACGATGCATCGTACTCTTCATCCGGTAGATTTTCTTTCTTGTACCATGGGTCTCCACCATTTGCAAACTCCTGTGTCGTCAACCGGTATAGCTTTCCCTGAGTAATTTTTGCAGGAGATGACAGCATTTCCAGCGCATAACCTAAAGCATCTTTCTTAGAACTCCCTCCGACTGCAACTTGTGCAACCAATAGCTGCGATCCTTCCTCCCATAATCGAATTAAATGCTCACGCGTTAGTCTTCCACCATGCCTATTCGGATTGACAGAGCGTCCTAGAGCGACGATTGTGAATGAGCTAGTTGCTTCAAACTGAAACCCTATCTGGCCTTCAAAATGGTCCTTCTCGCCGGTATAAAGCTGATGAAAAACATTATACAGCCGTTTCGTTGTGCGTGCTCGGAAGCAAGGTTCCTTTTCAAGCGCAGCTACGCGCTCCAATTCTTGTGATTCTATTAAACGTGCCTTCTGGTGTGCTTCCAGTTGCTGAAATCGATGCGCGGACTTTCTCACAGCCTGCGATTCCGAGCAAAAGTGGTCTAGCGTTTCAAGAAGTCTTACCGTCACTGGAAGTAATTGTCGGGCAAGCCACATGTGGCGGCGCAACAGGCACAAGCACGCAACAAACCAGGGTAGCACCTCCGACAGCAAAGGGATCTTATACGAACGTACACTTGCTTGGCGCACCACTGCTGCCTGGGAAAGAACAAACGATTCGTTTGCCTGGAAGGCGACAATACTGTCAATCAGATCCCGATATGCGTTCAAAGACAAAAACCCGAACTCGAGAGTCGCTTCCTGGACTTGAAGTCTTCGCTGGGACATTGCTCTCAGATCTTTCGGATCTCGTTGGTTAGCTGGGGCACTATCATTTGCGTTTGCCTTCGTCAGTTCGACAGCTTCCGAAAGCAAATATAGCTGATAAGTCTTCAGGAGGTGCATCGCGGCATCATATAGTTCATCATGACTCAGATGCATCTCGCTCAACGCGTCAGTGCCTGCTAAAAGTTGCTTCCGTTGTGAACTCACCACAAACTGCATGAGAAGTTCAACCGTTTCTGTCACAGCCAAGACCCATGTCGCTTCGTCAGTATCCTTAGAGTTTGATCCTCTGCATTTGTCAATGTCGACTGCCATATGAGGCATGAAACTTAGTATCCCATCGTTTCCTGGAACAGCAAGAAGTCTCATCACTGATACCAAGACGAAATAGCTCGCTGAGGTAACGTCCATCGGGCGTATAATGTGCGATCGCAACAATTGAAGCAGTAATTGCAGTTTTTCAATCGCGGAAGGATACAGAACAACGATACCAGCAAGAATAGTCTGAGCAGCAGCCTTTTCGATCTCATTTGCTACCCTTTGAGGTGCTTCGCGAATCCGTGCGATTGTTTCGAGTTCCCCTCGTAGATCGGCAACCAACTCTATCGACATGCCTAATTCGGTAGCAGAATCTTTCACGTCATGACATGCAATACTTTCCAAGTTAGCACTAATGATTCCCACAATATACGCGAAACCATCACGAATATGTTTTTCAACATTGGTTGAGCAAGCATCTAGTCCATAGTTAGCATGAAACCGCTTGAGTATAGTCAGCAGTAACAAAAAAACATCTTTGCTCGGCTGGCGGCAAAACGGCTCCTCAAACTGGACAAAGGACTTTGCTGAAGACATGGATGCGATCGAACTATCTGGCTCCACTTGATATAATTCGTAAATTTGTCGGACGATTGCGGTGCAAAGCTCACTGAGTGATTCTGAATTCTGAACATATCCATCCCTAGTGACCGCCAGTGGCATTGATTCGTTTGGAACGTCTTCCGATGTAAATTTGCTCACTATTTCCAAGCTTTTGTCGCGAGTTCCGTTTCTACAGACCTTGCATACTTTCGCTGAGCCATGGTTAACAAAAGAGCACTTTGAGCAAGCCCACTCTTCGACTGGATGCAAACAAGGGTCGACCCAGATCGCGTGCGCACAGTGATTAGATCCTTGACATGATACCCTGAGCTCCAGCATGCGCACATTTTTCACGTCGACTTTAAACTGCTCGATTAGATGAATTTCAGACATTGGCTTTGACTGCCACAGTAATTTGTCGTCGCCAAGTATCTTGAACGCTACCACGACCTCATGATTCTGAATAAGTTCATCGCGTGTGTCGTCATTAATAGCGACCGTGCCGCTGGCCGTGCGATAGGCTTCAGACAAGTCGTAGATCACGTAGGCGTCACCATGTGAAGGTGGATGCGTCGACAAGCACCGCCGCTTGACCTCGCCATTAATGTGGATTGAAGCGCCTCCCCTGGCTGATATGTTGTTGCCCGATGATATGCTCGGATCTCCATTGCTTGCATATCCCAACTGCCCACCCTTCCCTAAAGTCCCGTATCCAACTGAAAAGTGGCTCTCACTCATGCTCGAAAGAAAGACTGAGTCGGTATCAGATGGACTAGAGCCAGCGCAGTCCCATTTTGTGACTCCAAGCAAGGTAATTACTTTCCCCGAGCCGTAGAATGAAACAGCAGGGTGTACTTCATGTCCAGCTAAATCCGTAAATACCACACCGTAGTCCGTGTCGTTGATTTTGTATGCTAGGGTGCCTTCGCTCATGTCAACATCTACTTGGACAATATCGCCAGGGTGCACTTTACCAATGGTTCGCCCTAGCTTGTGTCCACGAGCATATAGGTTGCCATTGTAGCCTCTCAGCATCCAGAGACTAGGGGACGAATCATAACCGCTCATGGTGACAGGAATTATTGCAGCACCAAAGCAAGTCATCTCGTCGTCCTGTGAGTCAGTATCAAGACGCAATCTCCACGAGGCTTTCCCAGTAGATATTCCACAATTCACAGCTGCATATTGGTAACTCGTTTCCCGAGTCCTGACAACGAAACCATCGTCTTCGACAACTATACCATTTGAGCAGAATGACGCTTCAAAAACGGCCGCAACTTTGTGGACGTCATCAAAACTCACCGTATCCCCTTCGTGCGCCAATCGGCTTGACTTTTCCTGATGATATGCGTTAATTCCCTTTAGCAAAAAGCGACCTTCTTCTAATGCAAGCGCTGTAATTCGCTGCAGACGGGGATCTTCGGCGCTGGCATCAAGCTGCAATAACATATCGACAAACAACATCGTGACGTTAAGTGATGCCGTTGATAAAGCCCAGGCCCTCAGTGCACCAATAGCCTCTGCAGCCATAACCTCATCAAGAGTAACAAAAGCACCAAGCAGCCAATGAGCAATAGCACTTAACGTTAGCTTTGGATCCGCAAAAAGGGAGGCAGGTGCGGGCATATACAGCCGCAAGTGTTCAATCGCGTACGTCCCATTCCGATTCGAAAATGGAATACCCGCCATAACGATCCGGGCCTCCCGACAGGACGTCGGGAAGTTTGCTTCAATTGTCATAGGACCCGACGGCGATACTTTCCTGTCTTCTACAATTTGGAGAAATATATTACTCCCATCAGGACGATACTGAACACCGACAGTTTGTGGAATGTACTTCATGTGCCAGTGAATCGTGATTGAAGTCACTTTCTCCAGCTCTGTCGTCTTCACCACAAAATACACCACTCCTGGTCTTGGTTGCGATTGCCAAAACGTGTCGTCCCCTCCATCCAGCACGCAATGCGTCCCATGTGCATCAGAACTTGTCGTGACCGACGACGCTCCCACCGCTTCCTTGTCCAACCTTAACACTATATCCGGCTGTTTTTTCATTGGACTCCAGAACGAGTACAACGACAGCACAGGAAAGCACGTCAAGAGCTGCGACAGCTCTTGAAATGACTTCAATGCTTGTGGATTCGTATAATCAAAAGCTCCTAATAATGCTGACAACGTATGAATTGCTAAATGATGCAATTCTTCATTGCCCAGTGCTTTTTCCACAGGTCTCGGAATCTTCTCGACTTGATCACGACTCATGAGATCACAGACAATCTTGCAACTGTTTGAAAGTACCGCCAATCGTCTCTCTAATACATGAGTAAACACTGGTGTCGGTAATGCTTCACTCAGCATTTCTTCCAATGTTCGAATCGAGCGTTTCTCCATTCCAGATTTATCCACCACTCCGGCACTTGTCATATTCTTATAATCATTGACATTTTGTCTGCATTTGAGTTTTCGATTCTTGTGCATACGATGCTCTGTTGGTAGATCACCTGTCGTGTTTTCACCACATATTAAAGACGAGATAAACGTATCTTCCAGGATATTCGTCTGTAATTGGTCCAAATACTCTTCACTTTGGAAATATGTATCCCAACTGGTTATTGAGGTGTACTGTAACGAGGCAAAACATATGGCACAGGATCGCGTGTTGCCTGAATGTAACCGTGCAGGTTTGGGCATCCAACCATCCTCTTCATCACCAGTTATCCAGGCTTCTCCTTCGGTTCTTGAAGTTTCAGTCGTAAATGAAGATGGAGATATATTTAATTGTGGGCTTTGATTGTTTGCTGAGGTACGTGAGCTCTCCCCAGCATCGGTCGAAGGAAGCGGGTCCAGTAGCTCCAATAATTCTTCCATGGTCTTTTTTTTACGTTCTCAGAAGATATTATGAGGAGCTACAGTAATTCGATTGGTAGAAAAAAACGAAGCATGAACCAATAGGAAAGACGTATTTACCCCACTTCAACATGAGTGTTAGTAGAACAATATATTCAAGAGAGATCTCGCTCATACAATTCTTGTCATATATTTAAAGAGAGTAAAACAAACTTCCCTTCTTCTCCATTGTCTTCAACAACAACAGCTATCAACAGAGAGTAAGCAGCTCAATGTCTCTACAATGCTTGGGAGTTGTTACGTGTTCGACGTGCATTGCGCGCTTTGAGACCAGCAGGAGACTCAAAGTTCGAATAGCTGTTTTCTTGTGGCGTCGTAGTCGGAACTGCATAGTGCGACGATGTGCGGTGCGCCTGGGAACGCGAGCGCGAGCGCAAGATACTCTGGGAACGAGACGCACCGGCATTAAAGGACTGCGCGTTGCGAGATTCTTCAACATCCTTACGCATCTTCTTCTCGCTCTTGAGCTCAATGGCACCATGCTTGGAGCTGGCACACACGATGAACATGAAGACTGTGAGCAACAGGCACAGACCCGCGAATACCAAGTGGCTCATAGCAAACGACGGCTCCGCCACGTAGATCGCAGCCTGTACGGCATAGTACGCAGCGAAAGACATGGCGATGTATCGTCCGTTCTGGTACGGTGGGAACACCTCGATCGCAGTAAGCCATGTGCCACACGTAACGCTCAGTGTGCCACTGACAAAAGTCACGCATAGCAAGATCTGGGTAATGCTGCTATTTTCCTGATTTGCCAGCCCTAGCGCCCCACATGCAGCCGACAAAACTGCCGTGAATGGAAGCACGTCCTTGAAAATGGTTTTGCGGCGCACGTTATCGACCGTAAGCAAACTCAGCAAGGTGCCCACAAATGTCATAATGCCGTAGTAAATCATCCATCGAGATGTTTGCGCGCCAGCCTGACTGGGAGTCGGCTGAACGAGCACACGTAGCAGTAACGCACCAGACGTGAAGAGCGCAAAAGTTGCTTGCAGCACAACCACCAATACGATACGGAACAACATGTTTACATGACCTTTCTTGACCACAAATGACTCCTTCAGCTCACTCAATTCTTCCATAACGTCGTGACGCTGACGCAAGCAGACCAGCTTTGCCTCGGCCGCTTTAGGGTCATTTTTATGACGATATTCCCAGTAATGGCTTTCTGGAAGGAAGAACACGCTTGGCACCAGCAGTACAAGCGGAATGATTCCGAAAATAAACTGCCACTGCCAATCATGGAACGGTGAGTTGCGCCAGTTTTTCGACATGGCCGTGGCGTCGATGTTATTCACGAGCACCGCCTCAATCATATAGCCTAGTGCAGCACTCGTGAGAAACATCAATACACCCTTTCCTTTCCAGCCTTGCATACAGATTTCAAAGTTGTATAGTGGACACACAAGTGAGAGCATTGCGATACCCGCCGATGCCAAGCAAATTCCGATCAGCACCATTGAGCTCGACTCAAGCCACACGAGGGCACAACCAGCGAACGTTACCGCGCACGAGACCTCAATCGTCCATCGACGGCCGATAATGTGCGCTAAAGCGCCACTCAGGATGACTCCAGCCGCACCCGCCCCAGCAGCATATACCTTGATTAAAGCCAAATCTAATGCACGACCCAACACCTCATTGTTGTAGTAGACAAACGATTGATTCACAAAGTTGTCCGACGACGAATTCACATATCCCAGCGAAAAAATGAGGCATGTCAACCAGCCATACGCGAAACCACCCAGACCACCCACAACCACACTTAACGAGGCAGCAAACTCACTTCCAGAGCTCAGTGCACGTGAAAAACCACCGTTGTACATCATTCGAGTTTGGATCGTCTTCATGAACGGGAAAGCCGACAGAACAATGAGCGGAAACGCTAAGAACAGACCGACAACCACGTCAAAGAAAAAAGCAAGTTCGCGCACAAGACCCCACTTGGCAACGGGCAGTCCAAACAACCCGTGCATTAGTTGCAGATAGTGCAGAAGCGAGAAAAGTCCAGTGAAGATGGACACGGTCAACGAAAAGGACTTGATGCCGTCCCAGTCTTGCATGGAGCCCACGATAAATGGCGCGACACCAATAAGTAACACCATGAAGATATACAGTATAGCCCGAAAAGCACAAGCTTTGTTCCGCATAAACATCCCCAAGCCAAAGCCGCCGATCCACAACAAGATAGCAATGCCACCAACACATGCCAACAGCATTCCAATGTCGCTCAGGCTGAACGAGTAGATGAAGATATAGTACATAACCAACGGGTGGCGGAGATCACGGACTGCGTAGACAAAGCGGCTCATTGGACCAACAGGGTACATGAGACTGGCTTCATAGTTGTAAAAATCATTCCATGTGTCTGTCGGTATAGAAAGACCCCTGTGGTTTGGTAGCGTCCCTTCGTCATCATTTTCCTCCTTTACTGACATAAGCCACGAAAGCCAGTAGACGACATCCACTCGTGTTTTGGAAAAGTCCAAGCCGTCTGTGTTAAACAAAAACGGCGCAAGCAGCCAGCACGTGCCAAGCAACCATACAGCAAAAGAAGCGATGCCGTAGTCCTGGCCTTTTGAGCTATACGAATCCAAAAGCGTGATGTTCGATGGAATCCGGTCGGGGTTCTTGTCACAGTCAAAGTCCGCAGTGGCACAGTATTCAGTCAGCACATTTGTGCCAATGCTGAAATTACCGTAAATACCAAAGATAATCATCAGACCCATCAGTTCCATAGCCTTGCGGTAGTGCGAAGCAGCATACTCCTTGTAAAAGTTCACCAATGTTTCACGAACGATGGCAAAGCCACGACCCGTGCCTCGGTACTTAGAACCACCACGCATAATGGCAATGTCGTAGAAGTGCGACTTCGTACCAGTCTCGAAAATGTAGAACACTGGACCAAGAGTCACAACCAGCTCCACAAAATTAACCACTGCCTGGTGCCACCCGTACTCTACAAATAATGTGGCGATCAACGGAATGGTCATCAACATGCCAAACTGGAAGATAAACTGCGTGTTCATCACCTGGGCAAGATCATCTAGGTGGCTCGTCGTAATAATCGCAGATTCCTCAATCTCTCGGTGCAGCACGATGTACACTTTGCCATACGCGTACGCGAACACACACAGCACCACCAGTGCATTACAAATGTAAAATCCCATGTGACCATAAAACATAGAATTCAAACGGAAGAAATCCATGCCGGCACCCATTCGGTGCGACTCGCGACTTAGCGAGCTTTCAGCGCTACCATTTGACAGCTTGGCTTCGAAAGCGTTGATTTGACTCAAAGTCACATCACGGCCCTTGCCGCACTGCATGAACTCTTGGTGCGTAACCTTCTCGCCACGAAGTGCCACATTGTAACCAGCAAACACATCTTCAGACAAGTTAATACCCTTGCTTGCCTTGGACACACCACCATTGGACATGATAAACGACTTCTCGAATACGTCCGGGTGACCGTAGTGCATACGGCTCTGAAGGGGGTTTGCCAGCACACGCTGCGTCAGACTCACAAACACCAACTCTTGCAACGTCATGAAATGGGCCAAAGACGATGCTCGACCAGTGAAAATGTGTTCCTTCATACCGATAATAGTGACGTTTTGTCCGTCTGCTGTAGCAGTCGCCAAAAAATTCGGAATCTTGAGCGCTTCTTCAAAATAGTGCTCCTGGTTCATATCAATCGTCTGTACGTACTCACCACGAGTGAATGGAAGAGCAATATTCTGATTCTCAGGCTTTCCCTCGCCTACCATTGGGTTGCCAGGCAGCTCGTAACGATACACTTCAACGATTTCATCACCATCCGACTTTACCAGCACACAGTCGAAACGAGGTTCTGTGCCACTCCCTACAGGGGGGCGAACCGTGTCGACGTAGCTCACACGCCAGTTTGGATACTTCCGCATAAGCAAATCGATATCCGCAGCGCGAGAGTCTCCTGCCGCAAGTTGATCGGCGTAAATCTGGCAACTTGTCACGTACGAGAACTTCAGACCAGCGATGCGATCCATGTGCTTTATCTTTTCCAAATGTGTAATATTCGTATCCGACCCAATTTCGAGCCAGCGCAACATCTTCAGCGCGTCCTCATACATCATCATGCCGTGCACCGTGCGTGCCAACGTTTGTCCACGCATCGATGCCCAAAGACGAACTTGCGTCGGCGTCTCAACTAGGGCCTCGTCCATAGAAGCCACACCCACACGTTCAAGGAAGTTGCCCCATTCATCGTCGTGGAAAGTAATTAGGTACTTCAAAATGCTGAGATCGCGGCCTTTCTGCTCCACCTTGCGGAAAAGCGGGTTCGAGTCTATACGTCCATTTAGCTCATCGATCGAAAAGAGCACCGTTTCGTTGTAGTACGGCGTGACCACAGAGAACGATTTCATCGCTGCAATTGAGTCAATGGCTGGAATCTTCATGTGTAAAGAGTTCAAGAAAAAACTCATGCGGCGCTGGGCTTCATGGCAACGAGGCAGCGCATCCGCAGCATCCAGAGTCAGCAAGAAGAATAGTCGCGTAGAGAGCGACACCACGCTCTCATTAGAACTCGGTGAAGTCATGTGCGTAGGCGAGTCGGAGTCGCGTTGGCTTATGCGGTCTGCAAAGATCGACAACAACTGTTCCTTCTGATAGGCAAGATCAGGCGTCATATTAGCGAACACTGACTTACGCAACTTCTCCGCCATCCACTCCTCCTCCAGCATGAGTTCCATGCTCTTCAGCAGAGCGTCCAGACGCTGCACAACACCCTGGACCTGGTCATGCGGAAAGCCAACTGTGCCGTTCGTAGGCACCACGGTCGGCTCCGGTAAATCCAAGATGCTTGCAAGCAATTCGACAACGTTCTCACGGACCAATCCAATGTGAGTGAGATTCACAACGCCGCTTATCTTGCCTCCAGTCAGAATCTGGTGGAACATACCAATCAATACGGAGTCTTGAGTGCCTAATAGCTGTCGCAAGATCTGGAACAAGATGTCGACGCAATTGTTGGCACAGCCCAGTACTCCTGCCTTCTTGAGTGATTTCAGTAACTGGCCATCGCTCATGCGCTTGGCTTTAGCCTTAGCAGCAATATCCGCGGCCCTTTGTGCCTCGCCAGCGATCAAAAACACAGGTTCTTCGACGGTGCCGTTGTCAGAAATTTGATATTGAAGAATGGCGGTCTCTCTGTCGTCCAGTAGATCAGACAAACGAAAACTGCTTACAATTTCGTTCCACACCACGGCAAAACGTAGACGGCTGTTTGCAGCAGGGTCAACACTGGCCGATGACAACGGGTTGTTGTTGATTGCAAGTTGCCCGCGGGCTGCCGCAGACACCACTTTCTCGTCAAAGAGAGTGGGGGCCTCGCGAAGACGCGTCACAAACTCGTTAGTACGAGCTGAGTGGCCAATTTTAAGGCGAAAACCAATCCAGGCGCCTACTATTGCCTGCGCAATGGCAAGCCAGATCTGAGAATCGTAGATGTACACGAGAACCACTGGTGCCCACATAGCAGCCAGAAACGCAATGTTATGGTTCGACTCAAAAATACCATTCTTGAGCTGAGCAGAGGAAACATCCACGTGGTAAATTTCTACGCTCGGTGCAATAAGAGGCTTCACCATAAGCTGCAAGTTGAACAAAAACTTGCACACGAAAATAAACGTCCAAAACGCTCCATAACCCAAAAAGTCCCCCCACTTCTGACCCATCGTGCGGCCAACGTACTGTTCACGCGTTCCATCCAACGAGCTCAAGATAGCTGATTTCCAAATCACTCCGCGAAAGAGCATCTGAACAATTGACACGATCGTGATAGGCGCCATGTACAAAACGATCAAAGTAGGCGCCATCGTAAGTAAGTCGCTCGAGCCAAAAAGCACCTTGTACGGGGCCGTGTTCACAGCCATAAAGAGGCTAAAGAAGATGGTGTGCCACACGAGACGGATAAACACCGACACGGCATACATCAAGCGGCTAAAAATGCGGGGACCATCAATCCAAACGTCTAGCACGACCTTTAGCGTTAACATACCGCTAACCGTTACAAAGATCGAGTAGAAAGAATGATTACGGATATCCGATATCTCAGACGTGAAAAAGTTTGCATAAAATCTGAATCCATCCACGTCGTCCGGGTCCGATCGATATGCCACATAGGCAATCACAATCAGTATGTGCAGCATGACAAACAGAAAAAAGTAAATGCGAAAGAACGCCAACATCGGATTGCAAAAACTCCGTCGTTCCTTAAACGTCTTAAATTCTTGCATCTGCATTGCTTCGGCCGCTGTAAACTCGTCAAAATCCAGACAAATCTCTCGCCAAAAAAACTCGTTGGCATCGTCATAATTCGTCACATTCTTGTGGTCCACGCCCGCCCCATTCTTCTGCAGTGTCACATCACGCATCTTGGCTACAACCAAGTACAGTGGACGCACAATACGGCACAAAAACGTATTTTCCGGTACATTGGGCAAATTCTCCATATCCTCCAATTTCGCGACCATTTTATGGTACAAAAAGCACAAACATTCGGGCATAAAGCGCAAATTCGCACTTTCGCCCCAGATGAGCAAAAACAGTGCAACCTGGCGTTCTGCTGCCCCAGGATACGGTGCAGTATCGAGTAAAAACGGCTGCGTGTGTAAAAACTGGCACCATTTGACGTAATTACGAAAGAACTTTGCATGAATCGTTTCAATGGCCTTTGCCGTGTCACCAGGCGTCACATTCGCGTCACTGACGCGTGATTCGTAATTCAGTACCCACACTTCAAAATGTTCCTTTTGATTGCGTACATTTCCTTCCTGGAAGCCAAATTTGGCCTGAAGTAACTCAAAAGAACCAGCACCCGGTCGTGGCGGTCGAAGTGGTCCAGATGACGTCAAGGCGGCAAGAGGCTGTTGCGTCTGAGACTGATTCTGATGCGTCTGAGACTGATTCGGATGCGAGGAAAACTTGGCCATGGGTGGACGACTGATGCTTACGCCACTACGTTCAGCTGCAACGTCTTCAACGGTTTGATAATTCGAGGCAACACGTCGACGAGGAGGCGCAGCCGATACTTGCCACTCGAGTCCACTCTCGTTTCCCGCCTTTTCCTTTTTCATTACAAAGACAGAGTCTCCCTAGAAAAGTCTAATGAATTCTCAATCCGTTCCTTCGTTCGTTTGTTTGTTCTGGACGTAAGAGTGGAAGTAGCTCACGATGTGCTGGGGGCCCTCCTTTACTCTGAAGTAGTTTTAAAACCAGTGAGTGGGTTAGAGTCGGAGTGGGCGACAGGGGCGACAGAAGCCTCTTCTTTTTGTTGTTCGTTTCCGTTCCTATCAGTCACGAACGTCGAGCAGAAATATTCTGAAGGGATAAGTCTACCCTACCCCTTTCCTTTCCATAATTTCTGGTCATCAAACCCCTTACTCTTTATAAATTTATTATGTAGCGTCAAGATTTTTTATTCAAGTGTGTGGAGTAAAGCGAGATAAACGACTCATGTGTGTGGACTGCATACATATACGACCAATGTACACTTAATCTCTCTCTTTTTAAGCCAAGAAATAGATTATGCCGCTTTGAAAAACGTTTCTAATATACAGCTGTTTTACGTGTCTGGCTTCTTTTATGTCTCTTTTATATTCCCTTTTCGACATAAAACAAGTCCGTACCAGAAGGGTTTTGGGTTAAGTTGCTGGTAGCGCATGATTGTAAATGTACTATCGATAATAATTAGTGCCAGACTGTACTTCTGTCTTTAACTACGCACCGTAATCAATGGTTGGAAAAGACAATAATCTGATCGTCTGTTTGTAATCTGTGACAGTTCCACTATCTCATAATCATCACGATACCTCTTTGAGAGGAAAGCATCACTACAGTTCGTCAACATGCTACCCGAGGTGCATAGCGTCCATAGAATCGCACGAAATGGATTCTTGGCTTCATTTGTCATTTATGTATAGATACAGAAATGATACAGCGAACAATGTCGTTACTTGGCAGCGAGAATGATTGCTCATACGTTACTCGGTATTTGTTTTGATACTGCAATATATATATAATTGTGGTAAAGCGATCGAATAATTTGAAAGGGATCGATCAAAGAAATGTCGTCGATCCACAATCCTGCGCTCCGATTGGTCAATAAGGCATGCGAGATGGTTGGAAGAGGGAGTAACGGTGTGAAGAACACAGAAGAATATGGATCGAAAGGGTATTGGGTGTGGACCACACACCACAGTCGCGATCCAAGAGGATCGGATTGAAACCTCGATCCAGAAAGAATATCGCAAAGCGTAACCAGTTGAAGATCGATACGCAACCTCGATTCAGAAACCGGATCGATAAAACCATATCGACAAAACTGGATCGACAAAACAGGATCGACACGGTGTTTGAAGTGGACCACATAGCAAGTCTGATTTATTTCCAAGAAGGCGACACGCGGCAGTAGATCCTGGGCTACCGATAGGCAAGATCATAGGTTCTGGGTATTTGATTGGTTAACATTAAACAGAGTTTCGATTTTACTTCGAACCACGCACGCAGACTTCTCTTCCGGGCGGATAATCTTTGGCCCCCGACGATTAAGAGCTTCTGTTACGCTAAGACAAGTGATATCCCTGGATTGTTTGGCCAGGGATTACAAGAACTCTCCACCCAAGCAAAATTCCCCTGCGATCGGACGCAGTATCACGTAAAGGACAAGGCACAAGATCGCGAGACGGCTCAAGTGGTCAGAAGGTCAAGTGTATCAAGTGGATCAAGTATCTACATTTTTGGACAAGGCGATCTCAAAAGAGATCAGGGCGACTCGTATAGAGCCCCCCCAAGTAACCCTCGATCGCGTGAAGATTCCCGCGTGATCGAACCCCCAACCAATCCCAACCACGGTCAAGTTTAGCATCAACTCGAGTCCACCGAGAAGAGTGCTACCCGCCCTACCGACGGGTACACAAGGCAAGGAAGGAATTGCTATACACGGAAACGGAGTACCCCCTCCGATAGTCGGTTGTCCGGGCGCCAGTGGAAAGTCAGGGTCACATCAGAAATTGTGTGAACCCCGCTCCACCACATAATCTCCCCACCCTTTTATGAGGGATCGTTATTCTACGAACACACACGATTTGTAGACGAGCACTTCTACGAAGTTGCCTCGTGCTACTAGCACACACCTTCAGCACAAGTGAGGAAGCGGTTAGACCGTCTTACCTTCGCGTGCGAGGGTGGTTGTGTGGTTGGTCGACTGTATAAGCAGTCGTACCACCAGTTGCCTCTCGCTTAAGCGAGAGTGCAACGAATTTCTTAACAAGAAGGCACCGACGTCACGCAGAAGCTTTTCAGCTTCTCGTGCGTGGTGCGTATGTTTAAGCAAATTCAAGACTGAGCTATAATTAATGAATTATAATTAAATATAAACTTAACTACTGATTGGCTATATATGTATATAGATCGGATACGCGACTCTTTAGAAGCGTATCCTGTCGCATGAACTTAAATCTAGATTTAAGATCGCAACTGACGTCTTTCTGAGACGTCGCGATGCCTAGCTTCAACTAGCGTCATCCCTTCCCACGTGAATCCATAAATGGATATCACATTCACGAGGATGGATCACATTTGTGTATCACACCCAAGTGACAGGTCAAAAGTAATCATGGATACTTTTAGACCAAACATTGAGTATGTTACTTAGTATTTAAGTGTAACTAGATGCCCTGTTACACTATCCCCCGTTTTAGAACGATTGTTTACATTTTGTAAAACATCGCCTAGGAGACAGACTTGCGAGCCGTTATAAACGCGCCGCTTTAGTCTGCTCAATTCTCATGCCACCGAAACGTGGTAAGGCTGATGGGTCGCCTGCAAAGGCACCCATGCAGTCCAGCACTAAGCGCACGCGCCGCAATTTATCGCAGCCGTCGCAAAGTGCTTCAGGCACTGAGGTGAATCTTCCATCTCACTATAATGTGGATGAAGATCCATCTCTCACTGTAGACTACAATGAGACTACGCCATTGCCATCACCCCAAAGTGGCGATGAGCAAAGCGCATTGATGGGCATATGTCCCCATCATTTGAGGCACCCGTCCTTGAGGGAGCATCTATGCTTCCTGCAAGCGAAGGTAAAACCTCGTCGCCTGCGCCTACGAGCGCAGCGACTAAGACTGAGCACGCTACTTCGAAGGGAGTAGTCGCGACTCACTCCTCATGCTGATGTCTTGACAATCCATAATGGAGAGTCAGACTCAGGTGAGTGTGAGCTTAAAGCTCCACCAAGTACACCTTCGGCCTCACTAGCCCGCCGTCGTGGCAAGCTACGTGAGTGGTGGCTTGCCAGTAATGCCACCTCCATCTGAGTGGATGCACTCGGATGGGTCTAGTGCAGCGCTTTTGCAGCGTGCCACTATCGACGCTCATAAATTTTATACCGTCTTTTCCTTGTGGAAAAAGCAGGGCAAAGCACTTGGTTGTGCTTTCCCAATTCCAGTCGTGCTGCGTTCTAACGAAACAGCCGACGACTACTTCGGCGCCGTGTTACCTTGCATGAAGATGCAACTAAACAGCGGTCGCAGCGAATTAGCTTCGCCATGAAGCGTGCTCATGAAATTATGGGTGGTAAGCGATCCCCAATTGATTCTCGCCACGCTTCTTCTGCTAGTCCAGCCGGACCTAGCAGAAAGACGACAGCTGGTGCTGCTTTACATAAGCAGCCACCAGCCCAGGCACGTCAACGCGCAAAGCGTCCACAGGCTCCCACGAATCAAAGCTCGTTGGGTAACCCTTCCACTGGACAAGGATTTGGAGCTTTCGCTTCACAAACCGGTGGGCCAACAGCTTTCCAACAAGGAAGCGCGTATTCCCTTCCGTGTCCACCAACACAGGTGGCGCCCGATAGGAGTGGCGATTACGCCCACCTACTCGCGGCTGCCTACCCTGCTGCTGTTCAGTGGCAGGCTGAGTCCGCTGCGCTGAAGAGGCAGGTGACAGATCTCGAGAGTCAAGTCTCGCGACTGACCTTGGATCTGCGCGATGTGAGGGCGAGAGACCGTCAGGGATATGACCGCCTGGAGACCCGTTTGGACATCCTAGAGCGACTGGTGATGAGAGACCCGCGTCAAGCGCGGAGTCCCCCTCGATCACCGAGTCCTCTATCGCCTCGTTTGTATACGAAGAGCCTATCGGCTTCCTCGTCGCCTGATCGGCCGCGACGCTCGACTCACAGTCGACGTCACCATCGGTCTCGTTAGACCGATGTGGATATGTGATCTCTTCTGGATCAACATACCGTTTCAGACGACCCACGTAAAATACGGGGTGCGTCTTCATATACGGTGGGAGAGTGAGCCTATAATTTAGGTCTTCAACTTCTTCAACCACTGTAAAGGGCCCAATGGATCGGGGCAATAGCTTAGTAGTACTACCATGTAGTACAGAGATTGCATGTTTAGGTAGGGTAGCAGTACTTAATAGCACTTTGTCCCCCACACTAAAGTGTTCATTGTTTTTGCGACCATGCTGGTCTGCATATTGTTTTTGCTTGTCCTGTGCTCTTGCCATCGCGTCACGGACTTTACGTGTGATGGCTAATCGCTCATCCACAAAGCGCTGAGCTTCGCTCACGCTTTTAGCATCCAGCTCGCCTATGACGCCTCCAAGAGGTCGTTCATGGGTCGACGCTGTTGATAACACTATAATGTCATCGTGAAGGAGAACTGGCATTTCTTGCCGTGCCTCACCTTTTAGGTGTCGTGACCACTGCTAAATTAGCAGTGTCACTAGGGCAACCTTGGCCCTCTTTGGCATTCGCACCGAGCGAAGTGAGGGGCCCTCCCCCACTAAGACTCGGGCTGCGTACAAACGAGACTGGCGTTCGAGGATGACGCAGTCCGTTAATGTAAAACGGTGTTTCACCCGTACTGGCGTGAACACTGTTATTAATAGCGAACTTCACGAATGGCAATTGCTTGCTCCATTCTTTGGGAGTCGCTATTGTACGCAACACATCCGCCACGACTCGATTGGCCCGTTCTGTTTGGCCATCGATCTGGGGATGATCAGCGGTGGACATGTGGAGCTTGCTTCCCAGCAGCTCAAACACATGTCGCCAAAAACC